AAAGAAGAAAAACCGTACAGAACCATTTACAAATAACCAGTAAGAGTCTTACTTGTTTTTTTTATATTCCTGATATCACATTTCATCCACAGAATAATGACATATTTATCTTTCTTTGTGTTCATTTATAAAAGTTTCTGATCTCAATCTGTTTTTGGTTTCTTTTTAAGGTCTGAAGTGCATCAGATACCTGAAAAGAACGAAGACAAGAAGACAAACACCCTGATTAACAGACAAAGTAGCTGCTCGCAATCACCAACATCTAATATGGAAAGCTGTTCACTTGAGGGGATGAAGCCACATAAAAAACTAACCCCCAAGAAATCTGTGTAATATAATGACTTCTTGACTGGTCATTATATTTTAATGTTTAATGCAAGATGTTTTCTCATTTCCTGATAAGTATATCTTTTTTTGATTGTTTCTGTCAGTCGGCAGCCATGTTGCCTCTTTAACCGTTGGCTTCAATGAAGCTCATCCACATTTCCTGCATGCAGTCGATTAATTATGGAGCAAAATCGGTCACCGTAGAAAAAAACCCACAATTTATTCTTTTTGCAATTCCATACATGCTACATTCTTACTGGAGCTGTGTAGTTACAATAGAGGTGGCTCTGAAAACTGTTGGATTTTAATAAACATTGTTCACGATAGTTTTGTTTTGCTACTGTGACATAAGCAAAACAAAACTATAGTGAACTGAAAAACTATAGTGAACTGATTTCCTGATTCTACTGATATTATCTTAAATAATATCAGTAGAAGCTAAAACAGATGGTTAAAAGCCTTTATTATTACTGTATGTCTGTACTTTTTAGTATTTTGATACTAAAATCTATCAGAACTTCAGCTTCTCCCACTAGTTTGAGGTTGTCAGACCTCAACAGTTTGACAACCTCAAGCTGTCGACGTCAGTTTTTATATGTATATATGTGTACAGAGAGAGATCATTTGTGTTAAAGTGGGGTGTTTATGGTTTTCCTTCAAACTAAATTGAAAAGCATACAATTTTAAAAATGTAAATATTTGTAGATGAACATACTAAGATACAAAGGAAGTTTGTTTTTTCTATGTTTTAATAATCTTTTGCAATACAAACGGAAACCTGCTTATATAGTCATTTGAACATGTCACTGTTAAGTGACACATGTTCAATTTTACGCAAGAAAATGCATGTGCTAAATGAGCCGAGTGAGCAACATGTCAACCTTTTCCTCATTATTGCTGTAAACAAAACTGATTTTGAGTTGCTTGGTTTATGAAGAAATAACACAATAGCTGGATTTGATATGCATTTTTTATATCATAGAGCAAGACAGTTTTTATCTGCTGCTCCAAAACAATTAAATTAGTTTTCTACTATTTGTGAACATTTTAAGAAAAATAAACAAGTGGATATTCCCAAAGCCTGTGTAAGTGCTCTGTGGTTTTGCTGCTTCATTTTCTTACGAGATTTTTGTTCTGACACAGAAGAAATTCATAAAATAAAGTAACGACTTCATTGATATTAACATCAAAACTGACAAATCTGCCTCTTAATTTGAACAGTGAAGGCAGAACAGGAAGTTCAGGAATTACTTTTTGCTTTTACCGACTATTCTGTGCTGTGATGGGGTAAATTTCATGAGGTAATTAAAAAAAAAAGCAAAATAGAAAAGATATTTTTCACCAAGCTGCATTTCTCCGATTGAGACTGAGGGTGGCAGTAAGCATGTAGTTTCAGCAGTGCTCCACCAGATGGGGCATCGATCACATTGAGCTCTTCTGACGAGCCAACGACAGTTCAAGCGTCTTTACGGCCGTTGAACAACGAGGACCGTTTTATCTGCCAAAAAGGTAAATATAAATTATTCACTCAGTTATAGCGATGTTAATGTCTACAGCTGCACACAACTTTCCATATTTGGGGAAAGTTGACTGTTTATCCCTGAAAGTTTAGTGGTTAAATGTTATTTGTGTTCGTTTCAGTAAGCTAATATGTAGAGCCAAGCTAGCAGAATGAACGGTTCCGCTAACGGGATTTAAACAGGGATAGTAACTAGTTACATCTGCTCCGTTACATTTACTCGAGTAACTTTTTGGGGGTAAATTACTTTTAGGAGTATTTTAACTTGAATAATCTAATCTTGAATAAACTTTTTAGTAATTTTACTGAATTAAGTCCAAACTTGTTCTCAACATAAAATCACTGACACACACCTGTGGTTTTGGCTAGTCGCATAAGTTTTACATTGAAAGGAGATTAATATTTTTTGCCTAGTTTTGTTACTCTGTAATTCTGGTATGAATTGCTTTACTTTTCATCTTAAAAATACCAGAAAGTCCACTTCAGTTTTGCATTTTGGTCTATCTGATAATGCAATTTTTAAATATGAAATGTTTTGATCAGTTACTCTGAACTTGAGTAGATTTAACTTTTCACTTGAGGAAAAAAAGTATGTTGTGGTACATAATTGTTTGTTTTGTGTTCCAGAAGAAGTTGGGGAAGGTGAGATAAATTATTTGAGCAATGTTATTGATACTTCTTTATATAGGGCAAGTGCAATTTAGCACTGTAACAGTGGCTGAACAGATCACTGGCTGTGTTTCAGGTGTGAAACCAACCGGGTCAGAGGATGTGTGGACCGGTCCTCCCCCTGTGCGTCCTGCTGTGGATCCTACGAGCAACACAAGGCATGTTTCACCTCCAGGAGGGTTTTCATACTGTCATACTGGTTTTATGAGAACATCAGACATAAACATGATTATTTATTTACTAATCTATCAATTATTCTGACTATTCATTGGATTAAAAAATTGGCACGCTCTGCAGATTTTTCTGCTCATTTAAAACAGACGGAACCACTTAAACTTCATTTTTTGTTTTCTTTGTGCTCGTCTCTAAAGGAGTGCTTTTTAGTTGGTGAATAATTTAGCTTTAGCTTAAAAAGTATGCCCTGGTTATATATAACTGTTTCCTACAGGTGAAGAAGCTATGGTCCAAACCCAGCTGACTGTATCAACAGAAGTGGGAAAAGATGCCACTCTCCGCTGCCACCTCAAGGAAACTAAAGTTGTCACGCAGGTCACCTGGCAAAAGCTCTCGGGGAACACAGAGAAGAATATCTGCGCTTACAACGAGAAATTAGGTCCATCGGTGTATCCAGAATATAAAGATAAAGTTAAGTTCACGGAAGCTGGACTGCAGAAGAACTCCATAGTTATAAGGAAAGTCTCGGAGGAGGATGCAGGATGTTATCTGTGTCTGTTCGCCGCCTACCCTGATGGGAATCTGATAGGGAAAACCTGTCTGAAAGTTTATGGTGAGAAGCTCGTTGTTTGACGATCATTTGATGGTCGATGTGATTTAAACGTTTGTTTCATTTTCAGAGTCGTCTGAATTTTCCTCATCGTATGACAGAGGCGTCGGTAAGTTCACGGTCAGATTCTCAAATGAGTTTGTTTTTTTTTTCCTTTTGGTGAACCACACGTCTTATTCCTCCAGCATGGCTTTCTATTGCTGCAGCAGTGGCAGCCTGGAAGTTTCTACTGTCCTGCTTGCGATAGGTACTTCCGTCAAATCGTTTTTGTTGTCGTTGTTTACCTCCTTAATGTTTCAAAAACAGTCCTTTACTAACATTTTAATTAAATTCATTCACAGGAAGAAGAAAAAAACTTTCAAAGAACGCCACAGAAAATGTAAGTATGTAATTCATTCCTCAGTTTCGCAAAGGAATGAATTACAAAGGTGCTTTTTAGCACCTTTGTGTCCTTTATGGGTTACCATATTTTAGGAATTATTATGCTGGACATCAGGAGGACCTGACCGAAGCAGCTGAAGGAGAACAGTACTTCGACCACTAGTGGAACCAGGCAGACTTTCCTTCTTGAGCGAACAGTAACTCTTTCCTAATGTCACTTTAATAAAGGAAGGCAGGAATTCCTGACACAGGCAGAGTTCAAGGATAGACTGACGTTTGTTGCCTCTAGAGCTGCGCAGTTTGTTTCAGATGTTTTGCACAACTATGCAGCTTTAATCACTAGCAACTCTGTGTGTAATTTGTCGCTTTAAGTGACCTTCGCATCTTCGCCTGGGTGTTACTTCAGGATTTATAAGAATGATGTCTTTTTAAAAAGATCCACAGAGTCTGTTCAACAAAAAAAAGAGAGAGAGACAAAATGGTGGCTTTAGCAGTATTAAACTTCATGCATCATAACTCTGCTTTCAAAATCAGGGGAACTCTGTCGTGAGAATTAAACAGTAAAGATATTAATCAAACATCTGCTAATGAAGAAAGCCTTTATAATTACAAATACTTTTTTTTAATTCAGCAAGTTGTTTCCAGTTAAAGAATCAAGCTGTCAGCTTTATGATGCCGACATGTATGTTGGTCTAATTTTTTGCTGAGGAATAAAAGAACATGCTTTTGTTTGAATTGCCTCCTTAATGTGAATCTAGCTCAATAAATAATTTTTAAAAAGTAATGATTTAAAAAAAAAAAAAAGGCTGATGCACAATCAAACGTTGAAATAGTTTGGATCTATGTAATGTAAATAAACCCAACAGCAGGTGGCGGTAGAGCTGCATGCATGATGTTAGTAAACCAGCAGTTTAAATGATTGTGCAGAGGTCAGCCTCTTCATTTGGACACTAAAGGCAGAACAGGGAGCATATCGGAGTTACTTTTTGCTTTTACGGACTATTAGCTGCTATCACTGGGTAAGTTTAATTAAAAAAAAAATTAAAAACTAAAATTGTATTCTAATTGGGCTTGGGTTTTTGGTGGGGTTTTTTTTGCTCCAGCTTTAATAGTTTTTTGACAGGAAAATAATTTTAGGGAACATAAATTATGGTAAGGTTTCTCTTCAATATGTTATGGATATGGGACAGAATAGGCGTCAGATATAATCACCTCCCCTCTGTTATCATTTATTTTATTAAAAGTGAAAACTGTTCTGATTTAACACTAATTTTTCCTCAAGCTGCAATTCTCCTGTTGAGACTCAGGGTGGCAGTAAACATGTAGTTGCAACAATTGTCCACCAGGGGGCGTATCGAACACCTTGAGCCCCTCTGGTTAGCTAACGTCAGTTCAGCGCTGTAACGGGTGTTGAACGGCGGAGGCGGCCATTGTTGTCGGCCCTGTCGCAGGTAAATATCAATTATTGACTTAATAATATAAATGGTTAAGCGTGCTAGTAGTCCATGCTAACATTGGGAAAGGAGACCGTGTAACTGACTGTACAGTAGTGGCTAAATGTTATTTATGTGTTAGTTTCTGTGAGCTGGCAGCTTATAATTAACCGTTACGGGGTTGGATAGTAATTATTTACATTTACTGGAGTAACTTTCATCAGTATTCTGATGATGAATCTCCCATGATTTTTAATTTTACTTGAGTAATCGTACTACCTAGTATCGCTACTTCCAGTGCAATTTCTGGATACTAAAATAAATTCATGTTTTTGCCAAAAATCCACACCTGTTTTTGCTAATTATATATTTTTTTTATCAGTTACTTAGTACTTGAGTAGCTTTTTGACCAAATACTATTATTTTACAAGGAGCTGTTTTCTTGAACAGCTCCTTGTTACTTGAGTAAACATATGCTAATAAGCTAATCAATTACTTGAGTAATGTTTCTAATATTTATGGAGCAAGCCGAGGGGTAAGTTAGCTCTTTCAAATGGTCCAGAAATGTCACTTAAAAGCCACTTGCATCCTTATTTTAGTGCAGCTGATTGATGAACTCTGATTGGGTTCTTGGGGATGTTTGTGGAAGGAGGTTTTTGGAGCGGAAATGTTCTTCAGCTGCTACCCAACAGGAGCTGGCTGCTTGCTCTAAACCAGATGGTTGGCCCTGTAAAAACAGCACAGGATACCTATAAAGCTGTGAGGTCTGGGCCAGCGGGGGGTGGTCCTCCTGTAATCTCACTGCAATAACATCGTTTCTGACAGGGAAGCACCTTTTAAGCTGGAACCCATCCCACTGGATTTACAAACACACCTTTTGCTTTACACTCATCCTCCATGTTGTGATTAATCCCTCACTGCCCTGTGTTTCCTCATCTGTAATTTCCTGAAGGTATTGATTTTGAAACCCGAGGCTTTGATGCCGTCTAGACTGTTGAGATGGCAGCTTGTTTGTGTAATTATGGGCAATTAAAACCCCAGGTGATAATCCTCATCACCATGGTAACTTGGAAGCTCACCAAAAACATCTAAAGCGCAAATATCTCCCTTTCCCGTAAAATCTCTCCTTCTAGTGTTGTTCTCTTTAGAAATCAGGATGGAGGCATCATCATCATCATCATTGCCTGGCTTCTCATTACAGTAGTTGGTGTTAGGAAGCGGCTCAACATGTGCTGACCAGCAGCTCACCAAGCCAGGACATTGGACATCTGACAGAGGTATGTCTACTTTGTATAATGATTAAAGGAGACATATCACACAATTCAAAGATGTACAGTTGGATAATAGGTCATCTATTTACAGTCAATTTCACCTGTGATTGTCATCGTTTAATTGGGGGGAGGAGATGTGGCCAGCAGCAGCTTGTTTGGATTTAAAGTGACAGGAGGACACAAAACAGCTCATTCTGAAAAGAACACAAAATGTGCAGAATATGTTTTTGTAGACACCATTCTCAATCTGTTCAAGGAAACATCACAGATCGCCATTGAATGTTTTCTGTGGTTACAAGCTGTCAAAGTTGAGGTCTACCACTCAGATTGAGGTTGTGGTTGTGGCTCGCTGGCTGTGTTTGCAGCTGCAGACTAGATGTGGAAGTGACTTGATCAGACGATGTGTGTACCTGCCCTCCCCCTGTGCCTGCTGCTGTGGATCTTGCAAACAACACAAGGTATGTTTGACCTCCAGGGGGGTTTTTATACAGACTACTGCTGGTTTTATGAGAACATCAGACATAAAGTTGGACTCACAGTGCAGCACACAGCAATTTTCTGTGCAAATGCTTTATATATGTTCCCTTTTTACGTTTACCTTGTACTCTTGTACTCTCCAAATTTTTCTTTGGTTGTTTTAGGGTTTCAACTAACAATTATTGTTAATTGTTTATAATCATTGACAATTTATTGAATAATAGGCTAAAAAATGGCACATTTTGCAAATTTTTCACTATTAAACATTCTTTCTGTGAACACTTGATCATTTGTAGCAAAGGCTGGATCTGCAACAAAAATATACTTTCTTGCTGCTAACATCAATATGTGAAAAGTTCAGCCGTTTTTAATGCAGTGTAGAGCTGATCTCGGGATTATTTTTGGATTGAATAAATATCAAAAGGTGCTAAAATTTGAGATCTTTTTTGCAGAATTTGAACCAAGTGAAGCTAAAATTATACCAGAGGATCTTTTAACATAGATTAACAATCTCTATGCGTCATGTTTGATTTTAAAAGAAAATGGGATGAAGAAAAGTGAGAACAAAAAGCCAAAAAAAAAGAGCATTATGTTCCATTTGGATCATATTGGAATATTTTGTGTAAAGGAATTGATATAAAGTAAAGAAAATCTCCAAATCTGATCAAAGTCAAGTTCATCCTTTGACTTTTGAAGCATATATACATCTAAATGATCAAATGTCAGTTTAAAATTAGTCAAGGTCCAGAGAAGAACTTTAAAATACCTTCAGAAATCACTGAGAGCTTATAATCACTTTGGTTACAAGAAACTCCTAGTAGTTGGATGGAAAATATAAGGAAGTACAGGAAGGGATAGGTTGTAGTTTCACTTTCTTTTTCCAAATTACTAAAATAATCACATTTCTAATTCATTGCATTCTTGTTACAGCCTCATAAACCTTAGTTTGTTGATATCCAGATATTTTGCTCACAGCTTCTGCCTCTCTGTGTGCCCGACAGCTGCTGTGGTCACCGCTCCCGCCAAAGTGAACGCAGTGGCGGGCGATCCCGCCCACCTTCGCTGCAACATCACCACGCAGCCGGAGGAGACCGTGCACCAGGTGCGCTGGCACAACCCTCACTCCAACATGATCCTGGCGTATCTGACGAAGCCGCCGATCCGCATCGTCCACCAAGACGCCAACCTGAAGGTGACGGTGGCACGCAAGGACTCCAGCTACATCACCATCAAGAAGGTGGGGCCGGACGACGAGGGCTGCTTCCACTGCTTTTTCGACGTGTACCCCTCTGGGAAGCAGCAAGGCACCACCTGCATCACCATCACCGGTGGGTGCAGGAAGATCTCCACTTCTCACACGCTTTTTATATACTTTATTTAACTCCAGTTATCTCAGGAAACATGCAGCATCTCTGCCTGACATTTCATCTCCGTTTAAAGTTTATTTATTGAAGCCATGTAACTTTTTTGATTAGAGTCACTGGGTTTGTTTTGCAGCGTACGTAAACGCATAAAAACTCCCAGCATAAATAAAAGCCTACCCACGCAGATAACCCCATGCAAATGCGTTGCTGCTAATGGGCAATTCCTAAATGGAGAACCTGCACACTGTTTATCTTCTTTGCAACAGGAGGTAGAGTCTCCCTGGAGGGGAACAGGACGGCCATACGCGGGCTGCCCGTCACCCTGTCCTGCTCGTACCCCCTCATCAAACGGGTCGCCCAGGCTCTGTGGAGGAAGACCACCGAGCAGGGCAACACCGTCACGGTCGCCTCGTACGCCAAGGTCGGCTCTTACATGGGGGAGCAGTTCAAAGGTCGGGTGTCGCTGAGCCCCACGCTGGGGGAGACCAGGCTGACCATCGAGGAGGTCCAAGTGGAGGACGAGGCGTGCTACACCTGCGAGTTCCACACCTACCCGGACGGGACCAGGAAGGCCGTCGCCTGCCTCCATGTCTATGGTGAGACTTGCATGACTTTCAGGCTTTCAGAAGCAGCTTCATTTTTTTCTGCCGAAAGTTTGGATTCACTTAGAAAGTATCAGCTTTCAGAAAGCGGCTCATAAAAAGACAGAAATGATAAAGAAACTCAGGAATTTATAGTAAATGTTTTAGATTTTCGAAAGGTAAAAACTTGAATTTAAGTGATGCAAACATTTAGTTGAGATATTGGCTTCATATTGAATTTCAACATTATTTAAACAACTTTCATAGGAAAGCTGGAGTAATTCTTTGATCTTCTAACATTTTGTGAAGTTAAAATAAAAAAATAAAAATAAACATCTGATGTCTTCGTAGGAAATGACAAGCAAACATTGAAAAAGTTTTTTTAATAATAAATTAGATCAGTCCACCTGTGTGTAATTTAGTCATACTTTAAATATGTGGAAGAAGATGCTTTGGTAAGACGCATCTGGAAAGCATTAGTTCAAGTGAATGAATGGTCTTTACTGGTAAAACATGTTAAACCGAGTAGCTCTGTCATTTTTATCCACTATTGCGCTCCTTCTGTTTATCCGTCACATAAAATCCCAGTAAAGTTTACGGCTGTAATGAGGCAAAATGTGGAAAAGTTCAAGTTCAAGTCGAACACTTTTGCAAGTTGCTGCGTCTCAGATTTTTAATGTCATGTTGGCTCAATAAAACCTGAGCCTTTTTAGTGTTATCTGCAGATCTGGCATCCATTACACTCTCTGACAGTTAAAGTAAGTATTACTAAATGAGAACATGCATCACTTTGCTCATTCAATGGGGTATAAACCCATTAAGAAATAAATCCTATTGAGAGTAATTGTGTCCCGGGAGGCAAGAGAAGCATTGTTGTGAAAGCCGATTGAGCAGTGTGCAGAAAACACAAGTCACGAATGTTTGAAAGCAGAAAATCAGCACATTGTTCCCCCCCTCATATTTCTGCAAATGATTTAATGTTTTAATAAGATGAATTCTGGCGGAAAATTCCCCCCCAACACCACAAACCTGTCGACCTGCTCCCTCCAGATCCCTTTAAAATCACGCTCTCTGTGCTATATTCAAGTTTCTCCTGTCCCCATGAAGGCCACAACTCAGGAAAAGGAAGTTCTCAGCATAAACACACCCCAGGAAACCCTGAGATGAAGGCAGCTGAGGTCGGTCATTAAACTACTGTTCTGGACTGCCTTGGAGATGGATTTCACTTTTCCAACGCAGCACTTGATCTCCTCCTCCTTTTATTTCCTGTGAGAGTGATCGAGTTCAGACATCGGTGGCGAGGAGCGTGAGGAACTGCTTGCTTTTCCCTGCAAGTTTGTTTTCACGCTGATGAGGAAGGAAGGGAGAGGAAAGTGTCACAGAGGGGGAAAGAGATGATTAATATGGAAAGCAACTCCCAGGGGTTGAGTGGCTCACTGTTCCTTTCCAAACAAAGCCTCTGTGTTGATGTGTGTTTGTCCTGCTTTGCTCGATAAACTTCCAGTAACGATCATTTTTAAATGTTTGAGACTTTGGTCATTGTTAATGTGAACAGAAAAATTCTGCTTTTGTTTTGAAAACCAATGTGCTTAAAAAAGCTGATTGACCGAAACCTCGACGTTTATTGACCAAAAACTGTGAAAAGCTGTAAAAAAATGACGTGAACTCCCATTTCTATCCCCAGTTTTACCCAAGCCGGAGGTGAGCCACTCAACGTCGCCCTCGGGAGTCACGGAGGCTAACTGCACCGCCCAGTCCAGGCCTCCGTCCACCATCCTGTGGGAGATTAGCGTCAATGGCGTCACCCTGGGTCCACCGGTGTCGTCGGTGCACAGTCCGGGCAACGGCACCACGATAGTGACGAGCACGCTGCGCTTCCGGTCCGCGCTCAGAACCGTGAAATGCGTCGTGCAGCACCCGGGTTTAGAGAAAGCCCTCACGCTGTACCTCAAAGCAGACGGTGAGCAGTTTATGAGGCGATGCATGTTTGTTCGTCCCAGACATGATTGTAGCCGCTTCCCAATCTGTGGCTCTGAGGTGCAGAGATTAGAAGTTTTCTATTTTAGGCAGGGTGTAATTATGGATACTCTGGTCATTGGATCCTGCATCCCGTAACGTCTCAAAGTTTTGTTTTTTTTTCACACCGCATGACTTTGACATGTTTAGTCTAAATGTCATCCTTGAAAAAGTATTCACTCCCCTTTGAGTTTTTCACATTCCCTCTCTTAAGAACTGCAACTTCAGGTTCATTAATGCAAGAGAGAATAAGAAACCTTGCTTTTAATTAAGGAAATAAAAGTATTTCAATCTGCTACTACAAAACTGTACACCGCTTTTAACATTTTTTTGCAAATTTATATCAGAACAATGTGGTTCATTTTGATTTTTCCCACTTAATCAATACTTTGCAAGAACCGCCATCTTGTTTCAATTGCAGCTGCATACCTTTTGGTTTTCTATTTATCAATGTTTCATTACATTGTTATTCAGTGGATCCTGGTATTCAGGAGGGTTAAGGATCACCACCGCTCACGAATAGCTCGGCTCTATGAAGCCAGTCGCATGTTGAGTAGCATTGCATTGAGGTCTTTCAGCTTTTGCAAGCTGCGGTTTCTTTTGAACATTTTAGAAATGTTCCGAGAAAAATCAGCAAACAGGTAAATTTGGAAAAAAATCTACAAAATTTAAACTGCTGATAGGCAAAAGTCCATTGTACCTTTGGCATGTCAACGTCCGAACTCCTCAGTTTGCAGCTGCATTTCAAGATCCTGGTGTGGCATTCGAGTCAAGAGGACTGAGGGGCAGAATTTCTTGCACACATTTATCAAACAATTCTAAATAAACTCGCATACATTTTCTACACATGTTAAAATATGTTTTTTATTTTTTCAGATGATGAGATTTTGCCTGTCGAAGTGAGCTCCCCCAACATCCTCCTCATCGTGGTGTGTGTGATTGCAACCGTCTTCATTCTGGGTCTGTGTGTGTTCATCTGCAAGCGCTTCATATGTATTTGACGGTAAGTATGAAGTCCGCTTCGCCACATTCTGTCAACACTTCAGAGAGGCTCTGTTTGTGGCAGCTGAAGCTCGTTTCCCAGAAAGGGAAGCCGGCAATCAAAAGTTAATTAGAAGCTCATCTCTCGGCGTACGTAAGAGGGATTTTTTTTGTCACAGTGAGCCGTTTTCAGCCTTACTGCAGCTGGGGAAAAGAAATGTGGGTCTAAAAATACTAAATTGCAGAGATTCCCTCACAGTTCGCCAGACGTTTGTTCTGGGAAACTCTCACAGGTGTTCCTGTAACTCTAGAAAATGAGTTTAAATGTGAAGTGAAGCATTTTTAAACACATTCACACATATTTTTTTAGCCACAAATATTTCTGGGTGTATGCTGTTGCGGAGGAAACGCTCAGCAGATATCCAGTGCATTGTTTGCTTTGCGGCCGGCTGTGGAGGCCAAGTTTTGAGTGGCTGTCATTGTGTGTGGCTGTGATGAAACGTTCCCATGTCTGCTGGGTGCGTAAGCAGAAATCTGTCTGGTGTTTTATGGACCTGAAGGATTACAGTAGCCCAGCCGCAGTTTGTCTCATTAGACCCGTTTATTTTAATAATGAACAACATCTTTGAGGTCGGACCGAGTTTTAGATCCTCTAGACATGGAAGCGACCTTCACCTCTGACTCTCTAGTTCAAGGCACTCCAGTCTAGTTTGGAAAAGGAAAACATGAAGTAAAATGATGTATTTTCAGACCAAATTCTGCATCCCAACCTGGTCTTTGACAGCTCATTTTCATCCGTTTAATTTTATTATCTAAAACTTGTCTTGTCTGTCTTTGTTTTGTTTTTCTACCTCCTTTCATCGAAACATTTCTTATTTTTGTTAGATCCACAAACCCTCGAATATGTATGATCCCCTCTTATGTTAGAAGAGGCAACATTTGATGTTTTAATAGTTAAAACATCAAATATACTTTAGCATGCATTAACACGCAAAGTGTATTAATGCTGTGCGTGTGCGTCAGGTTCTCCACTAATGGAGAACCTGACATCTAGTCTTATCTACAGATTCTTGTTGTTTCAGCAAAGGATCATGTTTTTTTTAAAGCTGGGCGATATGATAGTATCCAAGTTAAATTCATTAGGGGGAAAAAAAATCCAGTTTGGCAAAAATATTCTGCCATGAACCTAAAGAAACATTGAGAGTGACAGAAGGTCACTTTGCAGCTATCGCCCACCTTCATGTGTCAGCATCACGCCTTTCACTGGTGGCAACACCTTTTTCCTCTTGGTTTGTTAAACTGCATGGCGCCAGGCTAATGTCGCCCTTGAACTGCTGCCCAGTTCTCTTACCGTAAATCCTCCAGCGCACAAGGGAGGCATAAACAAATTAGGAACCAGAACGTTGAAAGAAAAATGAGGTCTTTCTGTTTAGCCTAGGTCGACTGATAAACCACGGCGTTGATCAGGTCACGGATTACATGGATGAGGAGAAAGAAGGCAGGACTGACTGAAAATTCCTGCTTTTTTAAAAAGGTGGACTGTTTATTCTTTCTGTCATAATAAATTATATCCATCTTCCTCCTCTGAGTTACAGATGAGCGTCACAATCGTATCTGAAATGCATTTCTTCGCCCATGTGTGATTTGTTCAGTTGGAACGATCGTATCATCTGAAATAAAAATATTTTTACTCAACTCTTTCCCCATTAGTTGAATTTTTCCTCTTTTCTCAGCTATGCCTGCTTGGAGCTGAATAACAAGTGGCTGCGCTGATTGTCAGAAGCTGACAGCCTGAAAAAAGGACCTCTTTCAGTCTGCCCCCTTCGGCTGACGAAGACTACAGATTCAGGGGGTTTGCATAAAGAGACCACTGACGTGCCCATAGTTGAAAGCATGCCCAGTCTGACAACAAGGCGTCCTCTCAGCTTGGACGGGAAAGATGCGTCGTCTGTGTTTCCCAGTCCTCGTCTTGGCTGGAACACGCCGGACGGGAACACGGCCTGTTACTGTGATGTGATGCAGATTGTTGTTCTGGGGAAATGACAGCTCCTCAATGTATCTGGAGTACGCTATAAACACGTGGTCACATACTTTATGACTTTCGTTTTTACATGAAGTGAGGAGTTGTGGAGATCATTTCATAATTTGTCTTTCATGGAATGAATTTATGGATGGAACTTCAGCATTGCTTTTCCTGAGAAAGGGTTTTAATGTAGTACAAAGAAAAACATTTTTTAAATTGTCGCCTTTTGTCAATACAGACCTCCTTGTGGCCTTGCTCCCACGCCACTTATCTTCTGTCCCTTCACCAATGTCTCCTACTACGCGTCCTTGCACTACTGTGTCCTTCTTGGCCTTCCTTGTCTCCTTTAGGCAGTACTTCTCCTCAGTGCATTTCTGGACCCACACTGTGCAGCTCAAGGAGCATGGGAAGAAAAACTGCACATTCAGCGAGTCTCAAATTCAGAACGTCTTAAAAACACTGACTGATTCTTCTTCTCCAGATCCCAACCCAACAAAGCTCATGTGGGACAAGACACTTGAATGAGACAAATTGCAGTAGTGATCTCTCCATAGGTACCAACCAAAGTTTGTGAAGAATGTGTCTGACACCTTGTTGAGTCCTTTGAATTAAATGAGTTGTGAAGGAAAAAGGAGGTTGAATTTGGTTTTAAAATGTGTTTTTAATCAAGTAACTAATGGCTTTTGTTATTTTGGATATTTATTCACTTCATTTTTAAGATTCTGGCCAACATGTGTTTTTAGAATATGAAGCTAAGGCAGTCATAGCTGGCTTGGTTGGTGTTCCTGGTTAGGATTTGTCTTTTTGTTTGCTACCACATGGATGAAGAAATCCACACTTCCTTGCTGTATTTGTTTAGTCCGAAACGCTTCACATGTCGCAGGAGTCTGGAGTAAAACGGGATGTTAAGACAAAGTCTCTGAAGCCCACGGTGGACCTTTTTATAGAGCTGTGATGTCTGCGGGTGAGGTCGAACCACAAACAAGCCTCAGACCGGCCTCTGATTCTGGGTATTACTTAGTCCTGAGCTTGTTCCAGTAAAAACCTGCTGGATCTATTTCTGACCAGGTTTCTCTAATTCTTGGTGAGCCCGCCACAGAAAAAGGAAGCTGACCTTGGACAAGGATGGCAGACTTCTACCCAAATAAACTTAAGCAGCAGCTTTTATGCTGCCGCTGCGGGGTGGTGCCACATCCTGCGTAGATCTGAAAAAAACACTCTGCCCTTGAATCAGGAGAGCAGCTCCTCTGTGACTCTAGAAGGGAAACATCCTGACACGCCGATGGCGACACCTGCTGGTGTGGTCGTAGAAGTGCATTGATTGGGTTTTTACGAGGTAATGGTTTTGCTCTTAATTAGCTTTAAAACTTTTCTGATCCGTTTCAGGACGTTGACTCAGAAGGGTGGCTCAGCCATTTCTTTGTGACTCATGACATGTTCAGTGTGAAATTCTAATCCATTAGATGCTTGTTGGAGTTTTATGTGTCCAAACACGTCTCTTCCTGTTGCGTTCACGAAGAGGATTCGAAGGAAAAGATTACAACCTTGTGCGTCGACCCTGTGACACATTTATGTCATGGTCTGTAATCGCCTCCGTGTTGTGCTGCATCTTTAAAATTAGATCAGAAACGCCTCATTTCAGATGATTTACTCTGACAACACTGAGTGATGAACAAAGGAGTTACACAAGCATGGCTTAAATTTAACTCCGTAATTATTGTGTCAGATTGCACAACACTGGTTCAAAGTTAAATCCACCAACAATGATTTCCTGGACGCCATAAAATTTCACAAACTGTCAAAGGAAACTGTGGTGGATGTATTTCTTCTGAGTCATAGGATTCTGTTGTGTGTGGTAAAATCTCCATACCGTTACATCTCTGTGTAAAGTATTAATTTAACATGAGTGTTTTTACTTTCATGTTATCTTTCATCTCAGATAGAGAGAAAACTGTTGGTTTATGTAGCACAGTTAAATATAGCAGTTGTGTCCCTTTTTTAATTGACCAAAGGGTTTTTACATAGACGGGTGTGAAGCAATTGGAGCATGAAAGCATTCGAACTCAATAAACACCTTGAAAATTAAAACGGCTCAAAAGAGTTGATGACCTGCTACTAAAATTAAAGGCAAGTGGGGAAAAAAAGGTTTCAAACAGGCAAAGAAAGTTTCACAGTTGATGACCACAGTTGATGACCACAAACCCAAAAAAGACTTTTAAAGTTTGACAACTTAATTTTCCCTCGATTCCCAGTCGAATATAAAGTCTTTGAGAAACCATGTTCTAAATCCACTTGTAAATCCCTTAAACCTCAACTGAAATGTGCTCCGAGGTGCATTGTGAAATAAAACTCAGAATGAGGCGCAGCCCAGTGAGTAAAGAGGAGAGAATGTTGATTAGGAAGGAACAGGAAGGGCTTTCATTTTGATCAACAAGATTCTATCTGCAATGACATGAAAGGGAGAAAATATTTGAGGTGAGATGATTTTGTTTGAAGTTCTCTTGACAGCTGTGGCTAAGGGATATAGTAGCAGCTTTACAACTGGAAGGTTGTAGGTTCGATTCCTCCTGTCAGATGTTACACAACACATCATAGGTTGAGGAGGATTTTGTTGTAGCAGAATTTTTTATTTTTTTATTTTTCAAAAAGTCTTTATTTTCTCTTTCTGTCCAGACTGATTCGGCATCTGGCATCACCGCCACTGTCGCGCTTCAGTGGATTTCTGAGCCCGACCCAGCTGCTCAGCACCGTGCAGAGGAAGCTGCTTGTTCTGCTCCTACCAACCGGAAACGTACTGCCAGAGCAGACAAAACACTCCCTACTGAAAGGATTATTTAACGCTACAAATGAGATGAAACTGCTGACAAGTCGACCCGCAGTGGCTCGAAAACCTTTTAGGATTCGGTTTCAGGTCATGTCGTTGCTCTTTGTCCTGTACCAAATGCCCTCTGCAGCCATAAAGTGCCACACATCCAAGTCAAAACTGACTCTTAAATGTGATTTTTACTTCTAATGCTCTGAAAGTTGTTGTTGTGGCTGTTTTATGTTGAGATTAAACGCTTCGTTGCACCATAAGCTAGCGACGCCACTGCCCTACTTCTGTAACAGTCCTGCTTGGTTCATCCACTGCACAGAAAAATGTTGGAAGAAAAACAAAAATATCCAACTTGGTTCTATGTTTAGCCTTGTTTCGTGTGCTGACTGGATAAATATCCCCTAGCTCTACGTCTGGCCGTTGTCCCTCATGCCTGGTGGCTTTTGGGACACCAACACCACCGACATGCATCTATTAGTGGTTCCTGGAGACGTACGCTGATTAGAGGAGGGCCAGTTCTGGACCTGCAAGTAACGGGAAACCCAAACGCATCCAAAGTTCTGAGACTGGATGTGACTTTTTTTTTTTTTTGACTCTTCGTGAGTCGTTCTGAGAGAGGAGAGGACGGCTGCTCTGTCGGTTTGTAACTCCTCCATGCGGCGCGGGTGGTCGAGATGTAATCTGGGTGTTTCTGGGCTCGGCGCCAGCCAAACGCCTCCCGAGCCGATCAACCTGTGAATCACCGTTTGTGTGTTGGAGTGCGAGGCAGACGAAGGCCGGATCCGTTTCCACGTGTGCGCTTGTTTTGGAAGGAAGTCTCTGTGTTTCTGTTTTTATGTGTTTCTGAGTCACTGAGCTGAACTGCAGGGAGCAGCTTCGACATTTCTGAAGCGTCTGTTAATCGGATTAAAGCAATAACTTTTGTCGATGTACCGAGAAAAATCAATGTACGCAAGTTTTTCATATATATATATATATATATATATATCATTTTTATGCATTGACACAGAGTACTAAACATTGTGATTGTGGATGAGCTTTAAAGAATTAACTATTGTGCAGCTATTTTATCTTTTAGTGTCTTACTTTTTTTAAGCATTGCAAATTATTGTGATTTTTTTTTTCTCTAGCCACGCCTCTGTCGATATTCCGCTAATGCAAAAAAACCCACAATTTTGCAATTCCGTTTTTTCCATTGAATAAATAAAATCGCACGTGAATACATTTGTTCACGTGGAAAGCATGATGCTCCAGCTGCTTTCTGTCTTGGGCAATTATGTGGAACAATGGAAACGTATCTTGTTACTGCATGAATCAGGAATCCTTTACAAAATCACCCATTTGTCATTTTTTACACACAAGTGTGATTTGTAACACTGAGCTGCGCACAGAAGCAGTTTTGCTGTTTAATATTTGTTTTTCAAATCCATATCAATGGCAGATATTTAGTTCTTTGAGTATTTTCCATGCTGAACCATAAATTACTGAACTTCCCAAATGCCTCACATCCAATGAAATCTTATTTCTATGTAAAACTTTGTTTCAAATTTGGGGGAAAAGCAGGGTTTCTCATCAAGAAAGATGAGCCTCTCATCTTTCTTTTTGATAGTTTAAATGTGATAGTTTAACTATCAAATGTGTTCACATGGAGATTTCTGTTTTTTTCTTATGAAAAGTAGCAAATCTGTCGACATTTCATGGAGATTGTTGGCGGTTTTCTCGACTCGGGGAAAACTGACACAGAAGGAAACTCGTTTTCACCCACAGCCCGCAGGTGTTATTAGTTAGTTTCACTTTCAAATCCTCTGAAAGTCAAAAGATCTTTATACCCTCAAATGAATTAAAATATTCCCTCTTGCAAATGTTATTTTGCTTTAAATAGATACAAAAGGGACAATTTTTGCTTTTTCTGTAGGGGTATACGTGGAAATTGAATGAGTCATGCATGAATCACGTACATTATGATGTAGATACCACACTGGAAAATTTAACCCATTGGTAATTTATTTCTGACAGGATGCAAATGTTCAATATTTTCCTTCTTATTTAATGCTGCCAATAAAATTGAGTTCTCTATTTAAATGTTAATTGTCAAAGCAAATAAATTAGACGATTAATTGTTTTTGTCACATAAATTATGAATTTCAGCAAATATTTCCTGCTGTTTACGCTTTCGGAATCATACATATTTTGACCTTTTCGTTCAAGTAATTATTTTTTAACAAGTTTTTTTTCTCCTTTCCATATGTCTCACAAAGACCAGGAAATGATGCAATTGTTCTTTCATTGTTAAACTGACATGTCATTTTCAAAGCAATAGTTTGGGGAAACTATTTGAGTTTCACTCACTTTCCTTTTTATATGAGAGACTTATTTCCTATTTATGTACTGGCCAGGCTGTTGAACGGTGGTTTATCACTAACTAAATCAATCTCTGCATTCCTTAGAAATGAAACATTGAGATAAATCTCAATTCTGTGCTAGTTGATGACTGTTTATCACAGTGTTCAGAAAAATGAGTTATTTTATTAAAAAAATATTAAATAGAGAAGCGGAAGCAGGCAAAGAAGAGCGGAACAAAAACCAGAACAAGAAAATGTGGGAAAGGAAACAGAAATGGGCTGATTGAATACATCAGAGAAACTCCAAAATGGCTGAAAAAAGAAGGCCTGTGAGAACTGCAGTGATTAGGAGACAAACTATTGGGAATGTGGATGTTTCTCATGCTATTTCCAGCCTAAATATGGATTTATTAGAATACGCCAAAAATGATGTCACGTTGCTTTACGCTGCAAGAAATTATCTTGAAATGTTTGTTTCAGACAGAAAATGAGGTTAAAAAAGCAGCATCTTGTTTCCAAACCAACAGGGTTGACATTATGAAGTGACCTGCCCCAGTTTATGACCTTTGACCCAGTGGAAAACTTGTGCTGTGCCTTCCAAAATGCTTAAAGGAAGGTTCCTTTAAGGTTCAAGAATTTTTTTCTGGTCATTTATTTATGTAATTTTCTGTAGAGTGGAAGCATTTTCTGTTATTTTTTTAACAAATCCCTTAGTGTTATGCCAACTCACCACTAGGTGGCAGCCCTGCTTGCTTTGCTGTTGAACAGGATCTCATCAGGCTTTTCTTCAATAACTTTAAGACTTGCTTCTTCCCCCCTCGGCCACCCACCTCCAGCCTTTATGTAACCGGGGAAAACAACACTGTAAAGATTTCTAGTAGCGCTTCTTCTTTTTGCCGTTTTAACAGCAGCCTGCGTCTGTGACACGGTGTTTGGTGGTTGACTGCACCCAGAGGTGGGACCTGTTGTGAAAAAAAGCAAGGCGCGTGCGACTGCAGCCGTGTGTAACGTGGCGCTCCACGTCAACTCTTCGCACTTTCAAAACCGCAGAGGTAACACGTCCCACGGCCCATCCTCCCCTCGGGTTACACACAGCCCTGCGACTGCACGTCCAACGTTTCCCATCACTCTCCTCGTTTCTTTTCAAACACCTGTTCTGACGGCACCTGCCATCGACTCCGCTCTGTGGTTTTGTCACGGCTGCAAGATGCTTCCTTTCATGCTGCCTAATGGAGTAGATAAAGATGTCTTGCTTTGCATTTGCGGCTAAGAACTCAGAGTTGCTGGCTTTGATTTATTTATGAATAAATAATGTGATTTTTATGGAAAGATTTTGTCATTCTTGTCGATAAATCAGTAAGTTATCAGTTTTATACCAAAGTCTAATTTATTCTTTCACTTTACTCTCCTGTTTACTTTTAAATAATACTTTGTTTTGGCTTTGGTCACATATTTGATATAAAATTGTTCTCTGATGTTACTTTGTGGCCGTTTCCGGTTCGGCGGTTTCAGGAGACTGCAGACGGTTTCATTCTGACCTGGAAGGTTTTGCTTCCTGGATTGAAGCTGAAAAAAAAGTACAAAGTTTTCCATTTATCGGCCGGCACCTTCTCTTTTTTTCCCCCCTCTCGATGATCACCTAAATGTCTTCTCACTTAAACCACGAAACCTGTCTGATCCACTAAGCAACTCTAAACTCGATCGATTTCAGGAAGCAGAGTGTCAAAAATGCATCGGTTGAAGCCACAAATCACTAAATGGAGTTTTTATTGTTAGATTTTCCTTTCCTGAAAAATGAAACACTATTTTCTTGAACATAAAAGTCTCCTGATTTAAAGTTACTCATTTTAATAAAGCAAGCTACATGAAAAAGAACAAAATTCATCCAAAAATGTCCATGCATTATGTGTAATAATATCAGTACAGTAGCAGTGATATTATGAGATAATCTGAAACATTTCCATAGTTTTGATCAGAAGACTGTGAACATGAATCAGCTGCTTTCCTGCTTCTTCCTGCAAAGTAGATAAAAAGTGACAATTGGCATGTTTTTGTTAGCTCTTCTGCATTAATGGAGTGTATTTTACCTTTCAGATGTTTGTAAATCAATTTTAAAAGCTCCTATCTTTCAACACTCTGTGATGTAACGCCTATAGAAATTACTATAATGACAAAAGCTCCACTTCCAACAAGACGGTAGCTCCACTTCCAACAAGACGGTATGAATAGTGAGCACGCATGTGCTGAGAGTTGTTCCCTGCGCGATAAGAGGTCATTGACATTAGCATTAGCGCCTTTCTGTTTGCAAATTTATTCATGAAGGACTTTTTTTTTGTTGTATTTTTGTGGACAATATAAGTCTGGTAAAGTTACACAACGGAAGTAGGAAGTTAAAGTTTCCAACCTGGGGTTGGACTCATCCACAGTTAAAAACTTGCTGCTGTTGTGGGCCGAGTGTCGTCTGAAAAACATGTTCATGTTTGTGATTAAAGTTAAAAACAAACAAAAAATTGTACATGTGTCACGTTTACAAAACTTTTAGTTTAGACACTAGTTATTTGCTGCGATGCGCCACGATGAAGTAAACGCCGCTGCACCGTAGAGCAACACATTCACCATGAACGGTTTCACAAGGGGTTCACAGCCCCACCGCTTCCTATGCAAGAACAACTGTAGTCACTTTGAAAAGCTAAAAGTGTGTGTAGGATCCAACACAATGAAAAATAACAATCATCAATGGAGATTTGATCAGTTGGAATTACATTTAAATTTCCTAATCAAGCTAAGGATTTTGAAAAACAAAAAAGTTTGCAAATATTTGCACACTGCTTATTCGAGACATGAAACATGATAAATTGACTGAACTCACTGCAGAATCAACTCAAAGTTCATTTACTTTGACTAGATTTCAACAAAGCCAACTTGAACTTGGGATGAATTTAATTCTGTCATTATTCTTGTACTTGAGGAATTTATTTTATTTGAATGACTAAATGAGTGCATCAGTTTACACAATTGGTTAATTGGTTGCTATCTTTCATGATGAACCTGCAGGTTCTCTTTGCAGAAAATAGGCAAAGCTGTTCAAAAACACGACTGAATGATCTGCAAGAATAACTTTGTGTCTGTTAACCACCATAAACAAATGTCCTCTGACCCAATATTAAGCAGCGCTTTCTAAAATTGCAGTTCCACATTTTCACTTTCATACAGGAAAAGAAAACAAAACAGTCCGAACATGTTACCTCTGATGTAATTGGAAATGTAACTTATGTGTAGATTAGTATTTCAAGTTTCTATCACAGCTCTACTGCGTTCTGGTATTTTTTATTGAAAAGCAGGACCAAAGTTTATGTTTTAATGCTGCAGTGTTTTTTTGCATATATTATTAACTTGAGGAAGTCTGAAAACCTACGTGATGTGAAAGACCTCTGGTCAGATAGCATCTCTCCGATACCAAAACACAAACTCTCATTATGAGTCACAGCTTAAATTATTTCAGGAACACGGCTTAAACATCTTAGTTGACTTTATGGCTTCATTTTTTTACAACAGAAATAATCCTCTTGTGTGTGTTATAAACTTTACAAATGCTAATCGTCATCACAATTAATGCTCCATTTTATTCAGCCTCATTGGATGTGTTGGAGAGTTTTAGCATAAAGCTAAACCTAAAACAACCAATAGTTGCTCTTAATAATTGATAGCCAACTGATTTTAAATACAGAGGGTTCTGTATGAATTTCAACACATTTTCTGGAGTTATGGTTTCTTTCTTAAGGCCAGGTAACATCTGTGGCTCTAAATTTGTTTTATTTAGTTAAACTTAGAGTGAAGTTGTCATTTTGATCATTTGAAGAACTTTTGATGATTTGAAATATTAGCAAATAACACTGATATCAGGAAATGAACCACAAAGCGGGTAAACGCTTATCACAGCACCACAGTACATATTGCAGTGAATATTTTTATGCTCTTCTCCTGACTGATACCTTTCTCCAATGAAGTCACTGTGATGGAACTAATACTTGGACAGACAGCAGATTTATATTAAAGATTAATCAAGTTTATTAATGAAGAAAAACAGACTACATGTAGGTTGAGAAAGACTTGAGACTGAAGTGGAAGTTCATCTTCCAGAAGGATAACAACTTTAAACAAGCAACCAGAGCAGGAACAGTTTAGATCAAAGCATATTCATTGGATAGAACGGAGCAGTCAAAGTCCAGACATAGACTTCAAGGGGAATTTGTGGAAAGAGTAGATGCTTATAGATGCTTTCAGTCATTAAACCAAACGTACAGCTGTGTCTCCTCTGTCTGTCTCAGCGGCCGAGGACCTTTCCTTCCTGACAGACCTTGTACACAACAGAAGTGAATTCCTCCGCCTTCTTTACGTCCCCCTGTGTTGGTGAGTACTGGATCTCTGTACCATCTGATTTTCCTGCAGGATAAACACTTGTAGTGACGAATATTTAACCTACTAATTAGAAATGAGTGTTAAAAGAAAGAATAATAAAAATATCTCACCTTTAGATCCTCGCATGCATATTATAGAAATAATAAACACTACGATGACAAAGGAGCCAATCCCTGCAGTAGAGTACGAAAACATCAAAAACCTGTCAGCTGGTCCAGTTTCAGATTGATCATCTAAAGAGAGACAAAATAGAATATATTAAAAATAGTGTTTATTCACCCAACTTAAAAACTCTCTTTTTCAAATATAAATACTTCTCTTTTCACTGCTGTTTCTAATCTAAGGAAATGTACATTACTCTGAAATGGTTTGGTTTCATGTACAAAATAGAAGTAGGAAAAAAATAATTAGCAAATGATAGAAATCTAAACTTTTTACTTGTGACATTAGTCGTTGCTTTCTCTGTGGTTGTGTCCTCATTAGTCCCTGTAGAATAAAACAGTCATAATCTTAGAACTACACATACATGCATATACAACTGCTTTTGTCAATGTTTTTGTAGAATTATTAGAAATTAGTTAGTTGAAAATTGACTCACCATGAATATTGATGTAGATGATGTGACTCAAACTGCCTCCACCTTTACACTGATATCCACCTGAATCACTGCTGATGATGCTTTGAAATATCAAGTAGAAAATCCCTTTTGGCGGATTTGATATTTTCCATTCTGTCTTAATGTGATTGTTATTGTTCTTATTGAGACAAATATGATCTTCCTCAACTTTAGACCAGCAGATTGTTGGTAGTAAATTGTCACAGAAAACAAGTGGACATTCAATCCTGAGTTCTTGTCCTAGAGACGCTTCATAAATCGTGTTCCGACGAACTCTTAGTTCGGTCGTGCATTCATCATCTGCATCAGGAAAGAACCAGACATTAAAATGTCATAGCTGCGTGCTTTCTTTTTTTGCTGCGTTATTAAAACTGTAAGAGTATGAAATGTGCATTTTATAGGAAGGCAGTGGGGTCGAGCAAATTTGACTTAACAAAAAGACCGAAAAAACAGCACTGGTTGATGTTTGACTTGTGCAGAAAGAAATAAACAGTCATTTACAAAGAGCGAAAGTTTGCTTATTTAAATGTTAAAAATGTGGCTATTTTGATTAAAATAGCTCAGGCTTTGGACTTTTTGTGTCCAAGATTCTAAAAAATAAAACAAATGCTAATGTTGCAATATCCACATTGCAACAGAAGCACAAAAACGTAACAAACATGCTTTAAAGATGGAGTAGGACTTAATTTTCAACTTAATTTTCTGAAGTTTCAACCCACCAAAAGCTTTCTTCAACACATCGCCAAATATGGTAAGACAGGAAACAAAGTGACAGTAGCGTTATGTAAAATACTAACACTATATATTTGTTAAAACATGTAGTAAAAATATCAATTCTTACTTTAGTTTGGCAACATAGAATTAAAGACGTCCAACTCCATGTTTGATTTTATTTATACATGTTAAGTTTTATGACTCCATTATTTAGTCTATGCGTCATTTTGTCAACTGCGGAAATGCAGGAGCATCGTGTGATGTGAAAAACCTTTGGTATGTTTTAAACCCTGTGATATTAACCTCAGCTGTGCTAAAGAAATTACATTTTATCTACTTTCTACCAATATTTATTTTGGTATTCAAGGAAAAAAAACAGATTTAGACTGAATCTTCATGACCGACATATACAATCTATTATAGCTTAGTTTAATAGTTAATGTAACTTACCATCAGCATCCAGAGGAACAATCAGTATGATAGAAAACAGAACAAAAAAAAATACTCTAAAGCTGTTAGACATCTTGTTGGTAGTCAGATGAAGCGTCCAATTCTGTTCAGCTTCTGTATGTTCTGAGTTTTATACCACAACATATGCGGTTGGTTTACTTCCTGTTTGTGATTACGGGGAGTCGACAGACCCTCCTGCAAATGCTAATAGTTTTGATGAAGTATATACAAGCAGAAACGTGTTTCCACTGTTGTTAATTGTACTACTAGAAAAAGGAAACGGAAGAAAACTAACGTTTTAAAATCGAGTTCATTCAATTTCAGCTCTGGATAGAATATTTTTTTTAAAGCTAGTTAAAGTTCAGACTTTTGTGACGTTAAGAATGAAATCATTATGTTCATAACTTTTTCTACCCTTAGTGCAACAAACAGTTTAAACCAGAATGTACAGGAAGTCAAACTAAGATGATCAAAATCCTGCTCGCTAATGATATGCATTGTAGATATTGAAGTTTTTTGTGCTCTTCCCCTGACTGACACTTTTCTACGACAAAATTATTTTAATGTAATTTATTTGCAAACACTGCAAGTCACCAAATGTCAGAGGTATTACGGATTTATATATTAAGATTCATCAAATTTATTCACAAAAACAGACAGATTATATTAATCTGAGACTAATTATTAATCATTTTTTGCAGAACACAAATACAATGATATGGCTGTCTTTTTCAAAATTTTCAGAATGTACAATCAATACTTTGGGTACAATAAAAACGGTCATGATGGGTAAAATTAGTTTCCTTTCAAAAAATACATCATGCCAAGAAGAAAAGTTTATTTAATCACAAATAAAAGAAAGGAAGGTGAGAACCATAGTCTAGACAGTCCCTTGTGAATGTAACCTTTATACAATTTGTATGAAGGTTACAGGATGTATGAAGGTTACATCCTGTATGCTTCCTGGACAGGAAACATGACTATTACCTGTCCTCTGTCGCACTATTCTTTGCACAGTAAACAAAAGCTGCCTCACAGTTTCACTTTCGCATCTTCGCTGTTTGGCTTACAGTAGTTCAAGATCACAAAAGCAAGAAGCTGTTCTATAAAAGCTCTACTCAGGTCAAACATGAGTCGATATTTATCTACACATCTATGAAGAAGCTGTTCATTATCATATGTGATGGGTACATAGGTACTTCCCGGCCCTCCTGGTCCACACACCAGCAGTAAGTGGACTCCATGTAACACTGGACCGGACTGAGAGCGCAGAGTGATCACAATCAGAAGATCTGAAATTATCTCTGCCGTTCAGCGTGAATCAGCCTGAATTCTCCATCCGGTTCGCACTGAGGCAAATACTGCTGGGGGTCCGGATTCCCGCTGTAGTGCTCGATCAAACTGGCCCTCCATCTCTCACACACGCTCTCGGCCCGATTGGTCGGCGCTGCGAAGAGCATAAAGAAACTCCTCTGTCGACGCTGTACTTATTCAACTAAATGCAGCATCTGTTTTCCAGCTCTCTGAGTTGATGTAGCAATTTGAGTTGGAGTGCTTTATTAATGGTGTGTGAATGCCCTGTGCTAAAAGAGGCACGCACACACACACACTCCAAAATGTTTACCAGCCAACAGAAATTTTAATAATTCAGATTTATGTTTCTGCTTCTGTCTGTGCAGGTAGTAAAAACACAAATTCAGTATTTTTTTTTTTCCCAGATTAATAGGTTATTGTGTGACTCATGTGGTTTAGAGGTTATATGGCATTTAACTACAAAATTCAGTAAATTTGGTGGTTAAGAGCGGCTCATGGAGGCGGTCCCAAACCGCACAGCTGAATTATTTAATGTGAAACAATAAATGAGGGGTTGTAGTTTAAAACTGTAGAGCCGGGATGTCAAAGTCAAATACACTGAGGGCCAAAAAACCAAATTTGCTGCAAGCCGAGGCCAAACAGTGTATATTATTGGATAATGAAATGAATAAAGCAATATTTTCTTATGGATCTGTCAGTAACCTCAAGGGAAAACAAATTCAACAGGCAAACAGCAAAAATTAAATTGTTTTGAAAAACTAAATATGTTTCTTAATATCAAGATAAATACATAAATTATAAACTGAAACTACATTATTGTGCTGCTCTATGATGTTTATGCTCTTGTCTTTGTGTTTCTGAGAAGCTTGTTAGAGCCGTCTTAGATTATATTCTCATTACAGCCAGACTATCTAAAAAAGTAACTTTTATCAGATTACTGATTACTCCTTGAAATAGTCATTTAGATTACTGACTACTTTATGAGGAAAGTAACTGACATTAACAGTAACTATTTACTGTTAAATAGTTATTAACTATTTAACAATAGTTTACTATTTATTTACTGTTAAATAGTTATTTAACAGTAAATAAACTATTTAACAATAAATAGTTAATAACTATTTAAGTTATTTACTCTTAAATAGTTCTTTACTGTTAAATAGATATTAACTATGTAACAGTAAATAACTATTGTTAAATAGTTAATAATTATTTATTGTTAAATAGTTAATAACTATTTATTGTTAAATAGTTAATAACTATTTATTGTTAAATAGTTCATAACTATTTATTGTTAAATAGTTCATAACTATTTATTGTTAAATAGTTCATAACTATTTAACGTTATATAGTTATTTACTATTTATTTACTGTAACTATTGTTGCGTTTTTTGTTGTTCAGCAGCTGCTAACAACAACAACAACGCAGTAAAAATCATATTGATCTTTGACAAAAGTTAATAGTTTTATCAAAGATTAAAATGATTATTTTATAATGATTACATCAACACTGTGTCTCCAGTTATAAATTTAAACTTATAAACAACATCAAGGGAAAACAGTAACAAAAAAGACTTTAGTAATTTGTGCGTCTTTTTGTGTTTCTATTGTCTGGAAAATAAAAATAGGATTTTAACACCTAAAAAAGCAACTCATAACATCAGCAAACGAATTTAAAAAAAAGAAAAAGCCCAAAATGGCTTCTAATAATCGGACATTTGGAGCAGAACTCAAAATGCACATCTCCCTCCACTGTCCATGTTTCTGCCACAAGCTGCAGAGAGGAAGACAAATTTAATTACAAAATAAAATAGAAACACAAAGTGATTTTTATAAGTCACTGTAGTCTGACTGCAGGACTCGACTTTGATATATGTGCTGTAGAAAATGTAAAACCAAAAGCAAACTGCTCGTGGGTGAAAAAGGATACACCCACGTGAAAAAGATCCGTCCATCCGCCCGTCCATCCGCCCGTCCATCCGTCAGTCCGCCTGTCCACCCGTCCGTCCTTCCACCCGTCTGTCCGTCCGTCCATTGTCTGCTGCTAATCCAGGGTCGGGTCTCGGGGAAGCAGCTTCAGAAAGGAGGTCCAGTCTTTCCTGTCTCCAGCCTCTTCTTGCAGCTCCTCTGATGGAACCCAAAGTCGTTCCCAGGCCAGCTGAGAGACATGGTCCCTCCAGCATGTCCTGGGGCTCCCTGGGACCCAGGTGAGGGACCAGGACCTTGGACTTGGAGGCACAGATTCTCATCCTGGCCGCTTCACACTCGGCTGCGAACCGCTCCAGCGAGAGCTGCTGATCACGTCCCGATGGAGCCAATAGGACCACATCATCCACAAAAAGCAGAGATGCGATCCTAAGTCCACCAGAACGGATCTCCTCAACACCTCGACTGCCCCTAGAAATTCTGTCCATGAAGTGATGAACAGAATCACTGAGGGCAGCCCTGGTGGAGTCCAACTCTCTCAGGGAACGAGTCCGACTAACTGCCATTGTTCCACGACCAGGACGAAAACCACACTGCTCTTCCACAATCCGAGGATCCACTATCAGACGGAGCCTCCTCTCCAAAACTCTTCCATCCTTCAACCCAGACCTTCTCTCTTGAAGAGATCCAACAGTGCTCCAGAGAGTTGGGCGTGTTTCTGTCTTGATGGCAGATTTACAGCACTTTTAAAAAATCCATGATGGTACCCAATATCGTAGTGTACCCTCCTGGTACATCTGAACAAAAACACGCCCAACTCTCTGAAACACCGTTGGCTTGGGCTCATCCACCATCTTTACTGCCATGTCCTCATTTGTTTTTGCAATCTGGGCATGTGCTGACCTTGACTTTACTCTGTCTAATTTAATTTTCAATGTCACCAGTTCTTTATTTAATTCATTGTTTTCATTCTCTAACCACTGGCGATTTCTATTTTTTTCCCTCAAAGCATTCTCTGCCCTCCTTCTGATCGAAATGTTATTTGACTCCAGTCTTTGGTTTTCCTTGCTTAAGTCTCTGCACTGTTGTTTCAGTGATTCAATTGTCACTCTGGTTTCCTCCAGCTCATTATTTAGCGCCTCGATTCTCCATTGTTGTTGCTCCATCCTTTCCCGTAACATTTTATTTTCGGACATCAAATCACCGATGCCACTGTTTGTCCTCCCAGTTAGCTGGTGTATTTTCTGCTCCATGCTGTCCACCGTTGTTCTTAGCATGGAGTTTTCGTCCTGTAGCTCCATGCACCGCTTCTCAATAACCTCCACCGTTGTAAAATACTCCGCCATCGCTATGTCTTTGTTGAAGTTTGTGAAACTGCAAATGAATCTCTCTGTGGAATCTTGGAATATAGAGACAGTCTCCAGTGATGTCACAGAGAGGATGAGTGACATCACAGTTTGTGATGTCACTCGAGGGGGGAGGGATGCGAGGGGAGAGTGACATCACAGTTTGTGATGTCACACCCCCCTCCCACTGTTGTGTGTGAGGGGGGAGGAACGAGGAAGATGTTTTTTTTTAACTTTATTCGCAGACACACTGTATAACGACAGAGTGAAACATTTGTTATGCCTCAAGAAAAACTAATACAGATAAACATTGTTCAAGGAAAAGCTAAGGGGGCTTCAGTTCCCAACTATACATTCAAAGCAGTACAGATTTTAATTGTTTTAATAGTTACTTTTTGTCAGAGTCTTGATATAAAACTTAACTTCATTGTAAAATGCAGCAAGGCATGGACTTTTGTCAAACTATTACTTGACAAAAGTCCATCTGCTGAAGGTTTTTTAATCAATTTAGTTGTGCAAATGTACCAAAAAAATCCCCACAATTGATAAGTGACTAGTTAAACTTAATCATGAGCTTTGGCACCTGGAGGAGCGAGCTCTCGTCCCAGTCACTCCTATGTAACCAACACTTCCAAATAATTATGAAGATCTGTGGCTTTTGCTCAATTAGTGAAAAACAAAACCAATGATGCAGGAATTATTTGCATTCCTTAGTTGTATGAGACAAGTCAGTAAATCTATTCATGCAGTTTTTCTACAATACAACTACTCGTACTTTTTTCTGCCTTAGCACTGCCTAAAGAAATGCAGGTCTTTTCACGAGACTTCAATGTTCAGAAAGCTGAAATGGAAATGAGTTTTAACACAATCTGTGCCATAATTACCTCAAGCACAAAGCTACAAGATGAAGCGGAAGAAGTTGAAGAGCAACTATTTGCTGCATGAGCAAAAAAACCTGGTTGAACTTTAGTGAAATTATTCAGAGTTGTGGCTTCGACATATGCAGCCGCAAATGCCTAAAATGGCTGTTTTTTTTGTTTCTTTCTTTCATGATGACCAAAATGCTAAAAACTGCAGCATACTAGAACATCATCATCTTCCACAACATCCTGATGATTTTCTTTTCTCTTTTGTCTGAGGTGCACGGTTGGCAAACTGTTCATTTTCCTGCTGAATTTCAACTTCAAATTAGAAAAGTTTATTTAATCATAAATAAAAGATAGGAAGGTGAGAGCCATAGTCTAGACAGTCCCTTGTGAATGTAACCTTTATACAGCATGCGCGCGGATGTGTTACCTGTACAGGAAACATGACTATTACCTGTCCTCTGTCGCACTATTCTTTGCACAGTAAACAAAAGCTGCCTCACAGTTTCACTTTCACATCTCTGCAGTTTGGCTTACAGTAGTTCAAGATCACAAAAGCAAGAAGCTGTTCTATAAAAGCTCTACTCAGGTCAAACATGAGTCGATATTTATCTACACATCTATGAAGAAGCTGTTCATTATCATATGTGATGGGAAGACGGAGAACCTTAATTTTCTCTTCTCTGGCCTTTTTCTGCAGAACAAACACAAAGTACAATAAGTTATAGCTCTCAGATCTTGATTAGATATAAAAAACAGGTGGCTGTTAGACTCCTACCTTCAGTCACAGGATGAGATTTCATGTATAGAAGTATAACGATGGTGACAAAAATCTTAATGACCAAAATCCGGAACATAAAATGTTTGAACATGTCCAGATTGGTCGGCTTCTCTGCAAAAAAAAAAGAGAAGAAAGTAAACAATCATAAGAAGGGCGGAAAACGCCGCACGTGTTCAGATGTGTTTCATTCTGAAAAGTGTGGTGTGCATTTGTGTTTAGCTCCCTGTAACCTGATACCGGAGTTAAAACTAAATGAAGTCCCATTTGCACACGATAATCCAAACAGACACTGAATTTGAAAGGAAATCTTACTCTGCACGTTGTTAATTTGGTGGGAGCAACATCAGGCTGTGGGATGTTCCTCTTAAACATAATCAGGGAAATTGATTAGGTTTGATTGGAAGGTTGATGGAGCTACATACAGATCAACCCTGGAGCAAAATGTGCTGTAGAGGCTGAAAAATAGAACTGGACAGGCTTAAATCTAAACACATCCATGACCTAGAATGGCCCAGTCAAAGTCCAGACATAAAGTCAATCGGAATTTTTTGTTAAGACTTTGTGTTTACAGAGGTTCTCCATTTAACCAGATTCTGCTCCAATTACTTTGGAAATAATATCTAGAAATGAGAATTTTTGACTTTGTCACTTTTACAAAAGTCTCCATTTATTTGTGGTGCTTTTATTTCTGTTTCGGCGTTTGCAGGAAAAGGTCGAAACACGAATGATTATACATGACTGGCTGCTTCGTCAGCCTCAGTATTAACAGCAAGGTATCTCAGACAGGTGCGATGCAGCAGCTGTGTCCACCAAATTGAGGTCAAACGCGCTGCATGAACCCACAGTGCATCCTGTGGTTTTACGTCTTTGCCACTGAAAACATGAATCAAAAAGCTTAAAATTAGCACAGCGGAATATTAAAAGTGCTGGCAGTTTTATATTAAAGTTGCTTTTGCCCTTTATTTTTAACAATACTTCTCAATTTATGCAAATTAAGAAAGAAAATGTAAACAAAAATGGAACATTTAAACTAAAACCTACTATATAGCCTGAAATACGTCTGTATGTTATACAGCCATAATAAGTATGGCGGGATGAAAATATCCCCCTGTAATATTTTAAGGTGCAAATTGCTCTTTCAGCATGTCTATTTTTCTCCAATATTTACACAGACAAGGTCAAAATGAATGATTTTGTAATATATAATAAAAAATATAACACCCATATAGATTATTGTAGTAATAATAACTTACTGTTATCATCCTGAGTGCCACCGAGTCCCACCAGGATCAAGACATGAAAAAGGACTTTATAGCTGTAAGGTTTCATGTCGGGCACCTGAGAAATGATCCACTTCAGTAAAACCTGACTGCGTTCTGAGTTTTTCAGAAAGTTGCGTGTGGTTGGCTTTACTTCCTGTTTTTGAATTCGGGGGTCTTTGAGTTGACGGTTCCTCCAGTAAATGTGAATCTATCAGCTTTTGATGTCATTACAGGAAGAGACTTTTTTCTTTTTCTCCTCACATTTCATTTAACTTCAGCTGATCTGTGTTGGGGATTTTTTTTTGTGGAAATACTCATAATTACTACAACAACAAAAAAGACAGTCAAATCCACAAGATTAAATCCAGATATTATTTTTAGATAGAGATTATTTCATTGCACGCAGTGATTAGGATTACATTCTACCTTTTCAAAGAATCACAATCAGTAATCAGAATAGCATTTTCAGTCATAGTGACAGTCAGAAACTGACTCATCTGATAGGCTACAGTACCAAAAATGACTGAAATTGTTTCAAATAGTGATTTCAAGTCATGCACATGCAACAAAATCAGTATTTACTCGAAGACGTGCAAAACATTCAAAAGAACAACAGTTTTTTTGTGTGTGTATCACACAGTATAGTTTACGAGCTCAGTTTGTAGACTGTAATTGCATTCATTATTGTCAGAGATCTGAATTACTACTTGATTGCCACACAAAAAACAAAATAACATCTTTTGTACTTGTACCTCGTAGCAGAGCAAGAAAAACATACATTGAATGAAGACGAATTAGAAGAAGAAAATACGAATTTGATGTTTCTGCAGGAAAGAATAATGTTGTGTTACTCGTGTATTTTACCAACATTTATCAGTTTAATTCTCTAAGCGTTTTCATAAATTGTAGATAAACAAGCATGTTTGTTGAATATGTTGGGCTACCAACAATTTTGAGCTTACACTGTAGTATTAGATTATTAATATAAATAATGTAATTCTGTGATTGACAAATCTTTTCAGACCTGATCAAAATGATCAAACCTGCAAAAGTGTGAATTGACCAGCACCTAATGCATTATTAACATGCTACATATTTAATTTCCCTTTGGGATCAATAAGGAATTTTTGAATTTGAATGAGAATATATCACTTTTTTATGCATTAAAAGGTTCAGATTTTTGCACATTTTTATCCTTTTTATCTAAATGCCTGATATAATTAGCCCAGTCACTATGGTTTTTTGTAGTTCTCATTCAAGCTAGCTGCTGATTATCAATTATTTCCAAAACGTGTCTTCTTGCTTGTGTGTGACTCAATGTTTCCAGTTTAAGGAAGTAAAACATGACGACTTATGGCTCTTCTCGAAACACAAATAATGTGGTAACTTTTGGTGCTTGGTGTCTTTTAGCTCTGTGTTTGCTACACGCTAACGACAGAAAATAGCGTACTTTGTTGGGTCTTAAACCACTGGTGGAAGAAGACAAAAAGATAATAAAATTGTCTTCTAGCAAATTAGACATGCTTACAAAATAAAGCTTTTGTCTCTTTTAACTCTTTCTCTTTGCTCCTTTTTGTACCAAATAGCTAGTGTGTATTTAGCTAAGTGGTTTGGGTTTGCTAGCTCCATCAACTCTATTGTGGTTGTTTAGACATTTTCTGTGGACTGAGTTGCTGAGGAAACGCTGACTGATTTCTGTATCCGTGTTGAGCCAAGTAGGTTGGTAATAACCTACTTATTCACCCCATTTCGCCATTGTGGTGTACTTCTTGCAAAGCACTAAGGGCAGGAAAAGGGTCTTTAAACAAAGTGCAGACTGAAGAAAACGAGACAAATGTTGAATTCCTTTTGGTAAACAATCATAAAGAAAAGTGACATGGTTCATTTCCTTTTGGTTTTACTGATCAAGGATGTGAAACGTGCTTTTTACGCCGTAGAAACCATCTGCAGTGATGCTGACGTTCTTGATTTCAGCTGGAACATTTTCCATCCCACAAAGAACAGTAGGAACCACACATCCAGTTTGCACTGACGATGCCATCAGCGTTATGAGATCAGTGTTTCCGAAAGTTAAAGGAAGTCATGATTTGAGTTGTTCCTTGCTGTGAGGAATCCCTCCGGTGCTCCTCGTCCAGATTCAAACTGTATTCCTCTAGTGTGATTCATTCCAGCAGACTCTCAGTCTTCAAACCAAACGTATAGCTGCGTACTCTGTCTCCTCTATCTGCCTCTGTGGCCGGGGAGCCTCCCTCTGTGGGGGTGCATGGTTGAGAGCAGCATACACGACAGAACCTGCTTCCTCCGCCTGCGCCCCATTCCTGTTTCTGTCTCGTGTCCTCTGGCCGTAAGGCGGCGGGTTGTCTCTGGATGGCGTCAGCTCTGCAGGTTGCCCTGCGGTGGTTTTTCTCCCGCTGGGCCTGCGAGGTGGCAGTGGGTTGGGGCTTCCTCTTGGTGAGTGCTGGATCCCGGTGGCGTTGGGGACGTCTCCCTCACCCAACGGCATCTCTATGTACTTTAGGAATAAAAAAGTAGAAAGAAAACTTTAAACTAAAGTGAAATTTTAAAGGCATAAACATTGAGTGAACAGGCTATACTCGGGTGACTTACCTGATTTTCTTGTTGTTTCTCTTTCCTCGACTTCCCTGCAGGATAAACAGTTTGTTAAATGCAGTGGCAATGACTGACTATTCAACGTAGTAATTACAAGCTGATGTTCATAAAATTAGTGAAAAAAAAGTCTCACCTTTGCACCCTCGCATGCATATCACAGAAATAATTATTACTATAAAGACAAAGGAACCAATCCCAGCAGCAGAGTAAATGTACATCAAAAATCTGTCAGCTGGTTCAGTGTTGGATTGGTCATCTGCAGGAAGACAAACCAGAACAAGTTAAAACAAAAAATAATGATAAATTATCCAACTTAAGTGTCTTCTTCAAATACAAATGCTTTTCTTTTCACCCCTTTTTTTTGACAATTTTGATCCCTTCTGCCATGAGACATTTTGTGCCTAACATAATCATCAGGGAGACGTTTCCTACTCACTTTAATAGCTAGGATTTAATTTATATGTATTCATAGTCTTTAAAAATGTGAATTGCTAAAAAAAATACAATGGTTTATTTGCATGTGCAAAATACAATTAAACAAGCATGAAATAGCAATTCACATGTGCAAAATCTGAATACAGATATAAACTTTTTCTTACCTGTGTCATTGGTTGTTGGTTTATGTGTGTCGTTTACAGCCATGTCTGTAGAGCCAGAGTAATAATCTTGTAAATAAGGAAGTATTCATGCACGGATACAAATGTAAAGCTGGTTAATGTTACTTGTTGTGTTGCTTTAAACTGTAAAGCTGAAAAACCACTCACCATAAACATTGATGTTGATGAGATGACTCATACTGCCTCCACCTTTACACTGATATCCACCTGAATCACTGCTGATGATGCTTTGAAATATCAAGTAGGAAGTCCCTTCTGGCGGATTTAATACTTTCCATTCTGTCTTGATGTGATTGTTATTGTTCTCATTGAGACAAATATGATCTTCCTCAACTTTAGACCAGCAGATTGTTGGCGGTGAATTGTTACAGAAAACAACTGGACATTCAACCCTGAGTTCTTGTCCTAGAGACGTGTTATAAATCGTGTTCCGACGAACTCTTAGTTCGAGTGTGCAGTCGTCATCTAAAGGAAGAGAAAACATTAGACATTAGATAACATAGATAAACTGATGCATTTTGTGTCTGCTTAGCTTTAAACTTTGAATGAACTTCACAAAATAACTCAGAAAAATCCTTTTGCTACAATGGAAGAACTGTTTGGTTTCTGTTCAGTCTAAAATCAGACGATCAGTTTAACAAGGTTACCTTTGTGCTAAAAGACTTTACATCTCAAGTGCACTCTAAAAATGCTTTTATATCTTCTCCTTTTTTCTTTTTATCATTTAACCTCATGTCAATTTTTACACACATACAGTTATATCTCTCTGTTTCTCTGAAGCGCAGTTAATATAAACTAGTTCCTTTTTTAACCAGTTGATAAGTCAGCGGTGAATGCCATTAGTTTAAACTTAAATACATTTATAAAGACCTCAGCCTTTTTGCATCACAGGAAACTTTTCTTCTGTTGATCCGCTGACTAGAAGCTATAAGTTCTTCGTTTTTATCAAACACCACGCTTATGATTTTATCCTGCACAGCTGTTTTTTTCAACTATTCATTGAAAATGAGAAAGTCAGATGTTAAAACTGAAACGTCTTTGTGCCGCTAATGAAATTGAACATTAAAGAAGACATGAAGTGACTTTTAAATAAAGAAATAAGTTACAATGTGAGCCAATAAATTATGTTTTCGCAAATAATATCACAGTTTAAAATAATAGTGCCTGGAGAAAACAGGCTTTCAGTCAAATAGCAACTTATAATTAAAAACTTTGCTTATCTAACCATTTGTTTAACACCCTGTGTATAATTGAAATACAAGTGCTAAAACCTTCTTGTAGTTTTAGTTTTGATTTTTATTGGTCAGCATTAAATTTACAGTTGTTTCTGAACCATAAAGGAACTCTAAATGGAACAATGATCAACACATTTGATGCGTATTGATTATTTTAACAATGGCAAAATATAATGTTTGTTGGTTTTCACGACTTTTATTGATGTTTTCTTTTATGTTTTCAGGATGTGAAGCACTTTGAGCTGCTGTGTTGCTGAAATGTGCCATACAAATTGATTGATTGATTGATTGGTGAGTAAAAAATGGGACATGTAAGTCATATTACCTTGTTTTCCCCTCTTTATCTCAATTTGTAAATATTTTCTGTTACTGTGAGTTTTTAAACTGTTTCACAATAACCTGATCATACGTACCGTGGAAACAAAACGAAAGAAAATTGTTTTTCAAAATCTAAAAAAAATATATCACATCTATCGGAGAAGAGAACCGACATTTCTGTAACGTATATAATTGCTGACGGTCCCTCAAAATCATCAGGAGCTTTGAGTTTATGTAATCTGACCTCCCGGTGTGACATATCTACTAGTTTCACTCACAGTCAGATTTGGCTGTGACCTCTGCCCTCTGGATTTTGTCTGCACAAAAACCATTTACTTGGTCTTTGTGGTTATGAAAGGAAACATTTTCACTTACCCTCGGCCTCAGCGTTAAGGAACTGGACGGTCCAAATGGACCAAATCAGGACAATCCAGCGGTGCTCACGCTTCATGATCTCTTCGCTCGTTACTGTCCAGTCACATCCAGCTCAACTGAGAAATCTTCCTCCGAAAACATCATTAATTTGTTAAACAAAACAGCCAGAGCTGCTTCCTCTTTAGCTGCCGCTCACATGCCCTGTAATGTACAGTACTTCTTCCCCTTGAAAGTAGACAGGATTATAGTTTTTGAGGTGAAACTCAGGCGGTGGGTGGTCTCACTTCTGCAATTTCTGCAGGTCCGACTCAGCGAGGTGTCTCTTCCCCTTCTCATCCAGCTGCAGAAATCATCTCAAACTGAGCCAAAGCCTTCACCGTTCTCACAGACCTCACTGTCGTTTCCAAGGCGTCTTTCAGACTGTGCACCTTGACGCCGCCTTCATCACTTCTTCACAGCCTCTGCGGTTTGCAATCTTCAAGCTGACTTCCTCTCCTTTCTCCTCTTCTTTAATCTCCGTCTTGTGCATCTCCTGCAGCACTGCGCGACCTCTTGCAGAGCGCCTGTGGTTTCAGTGGAGGTTGTAAGGTGCTCTGATGAGCTGACAGGGACCCCACAGCCTCTCTAATGGCTTAAATGCCCACTGATGGTTTTTTGGTGGCTTTTATTAGGTCAACACTGTTACCACATGAACACTTGCACCATGTGAATCAGCTATATTTAGATTTTGAAGAACTACATTGTGTTGGTTTGGTATTGTGAGGACAAAAGACTAGACTTTATTATTTAGTGATGTTTTTACCGTAACATTTTAGGATTATTTTCATAATTGCCAAGTCGGCTGTCGTCTTAAACAGTTTTTTTTAATGTTATTATTTCTAGAATTTTATGCATTGCATTTTTTGTTAATTTCACTTTTTTAATGTTAGGTTCTACAGTTTTCAACAAATATGCTCATTTTCTGGCTTTCCCCTCTTTCCTATATCCAAGATTAATTAAAATATTCAAATTCATAATCCACGTTTTTAAACCTCTTATCGGGGAAACAGCGCCCCAAAGCGGTCAATTAAAAGTAATGTACATGTTGTCATGGTTACCTCCACAGCGTTAGAGCGCAGGCGTCCCTCCCTTTGCGTGATGACGCATTCCACAACGTCTGAGACGGGGCGAAAATGGCGGAGTATCTGGCGTCCATCTTCGGTACAGAGAAAGACAAGTGAGTTTTATTCAATGTTGGTTAAGATTAACACATTAACTGCGACTTTTATGCAAAGCATTTTTGCTGCAGATTTATTGTTCATTACTAGCAGGTTAGTTATGTTCTTTAGCTTCGCTGGAAGTCCCGCTGAAGCTATCGTTAGCGAGAGGAAGCTAACAGAGAGCTACCGCATTGAATGAAACTCATGTTGACAGAACGTAAACCTTCTGTTTCCTGTTAGTTTATGGCAAAATATTAAGGAACTAATATATTTATATGATGTTCGCTCCTTTTATTGTTTATTTACCTACACTTACAGCCTGCAGCACTGTTAACTAAAATCCAATAACCCGTAGCCTGCTAGTTAGCCTGTCAAAGCAGATTACTTGGTTTGTATTGATTTGGAGAGTACTGGGGTACAAATATAAGCTGATTTTTTTCTTTTTGTTTTAATTAAAATCCAATTATTTCAAGTTATTAAGAAATAAATATATATAGAGACCCTTTTTAGTCACTTGAAGGTGAGGTTTAAGGCTAAGGAAGCTGCATTTTGTCTCCCAAAACGTAAATATGTCTCTTTTTAGATGCTCATTATTATTACGCTCCTGTTAACAATACAATACATACAATACATACAACTCTCACTGTGTCAGTTAGATGTGATGGTATCTTCTGTCACCTCCCACAACTTGTTGCTTCAGTTACTGTATGTATGCTTATTATTCCAGTTTGATGCTGAGTAGAGAAAGGGGGCAACACTAGAGTCTCACAGGGCTCTGCGAAGCCATATGTTGTCGCAAAACCTTTACACTGATGAGTCTGTGCATGTGATAACCTTAAGACATGAGATTTTAATTTGTCATTGTTACTTTTGTTTAACAAGTTAGCAGCGGTTCCTGAATTGGTAATAAACAAATAATGTCGACTTCCCTTCCAGGGTAAATTGTTCCTTCTATTTCAAAATTGGAGCCTGCAGACATGGAGACCGATGCTCAAGATTGCACAATAAACCAACCTTCAGCCAGGTAAGTTTCTGCCTTACAAATGATTTTATATTTCTAAAATTACCAATTGGTCAACAGCTTCCTGAACTACATCTGTCTAGCTGTACATCTGTGAGCCTCATCCAAACCAGAAGTTAACATCCACGTAAAAAGACACAAACACCTTTTTCTCTCTTTCTGATATCTGCTGTGTAGACCATCTTGATCCAGAACATCTACCGTAACCCTCAGAACAGCGCTCAGACCGCCGACGCCTCTCGCTGTAAGTCAGACATGTTTTTCTTAAAACTGAGGCTCTGCTCTTGTCCTGCTAGCTAGTTAACCCCTGAGCCATTCAGTGGCTGACAGTAGACGAGTATGTTATCTGTGAGACTTGATGTGACTCAGCGATATAAACAGATACCAACTAGGATGTAAAAGCAAAAAGCGTTTCCAGGCAGAGCTGATTAGCTTGGAATACGTAGAAACATGAGGTCTGGTTGTGTGCCGTAAACAGAAACAGACCGCCTCATACAGGTAGGTGTGTTAAATATGAATATGAAAATAAACCAGTCCTAAAATACATATTTAAATCAATCTTGAGGTGAGTAGAAATAGTAAATGTCCTTAATAATATTAATGTCTGCATTTAGGTTAAATTCTTAACCAATTACAAATATATTGTTTTTGTGTTTAAAAGATATCAAAAGAAAACTCTTGATCATTGAAGGTAGCCACCAACTAACTGAAAACTAAAGATTAAAAATAAAGTTGCCTCCCATATTAGTTTAGCTAATATGCAAACTGAGCTTTTTTTAAAATATATTTTTAAACATACAGTTACTGAGGGAAACTGTTAAACAACCAGTAAGTGTGACTTTACTGGGAGACTTGGAGTTTGTTATTGGATGCCTGTGGAGTCAGCAAGAGGAACCCGCCGCCGTTCCCAGGCCTGGAAATGTCGGTCCCCCCTCAGGCCTGAACACAAGCAGCGAAACATAAAATATGAATATCAAGTTGTTTAAGTAATATTTACATGCCAAAGTCTAAATTATTGTTTTTATCTGTGTAAAATATTTAAAAGAATGAACAAGTTTTCTTCAGATGTCTTTCTCAGCTCTTTGTGATTTTTGTTAGCTCGCTTTTTTAAGCTTTTTGAGAAAATACTGCAAGAAATATAGTAAATATTTTAATTGAACAAATATTTTTTCTGCTGAGAAAGGGGGAGTTCAGTCTTCACCCGGCGCAGTTGAACTTACATCTGTTATCTGTGCACCAGTCTGTAGCATCGCTCTAAGGAAGATGGCTCCATTCCTCACTTTAATATTTGCAATGTTTCTTGTATCATCTTAAAGCTTCTCCTATTAGATCTGGACTTTGACTAGACCAGAGCATTTTATTTCGTAACTTTAGGCCGTCTTTGCTGGAGTTTCCGGTGTGTTCACTTTAATCTTTTTTACCTTTTTACAATAATCTCAAACCAAAATCCTCTGATACATGATATATGATCGCTTTCCCAAATCATGACACTTCCACTTCCGTGCTTTATAGCTGCTGTAACGTTCTTTTCTTGGCTGTGGGTTTGAGTCAAGCATGTCCTCTATCCTTGCATCCTGTCTTTTATACCTGGTTCTGTCCCAGTCAGGCCAGTCATTCTGGTTGCTTAACTGTTTTTTCTCAATGAGACAATCTGTATGTTTAAAAAGTTGCTTCAAACATAAAGACTAAATATCAGGAAAGCACTTGCTAAAATACTCTTGTTAAATGCAGCTTCACCTCTCGACCAATCGATCGAAGCCGTTTTAGCGAAACATATCTAATAACGTTCTTTTCCCTCCCCAGCTTCGTATTTGGTTGGATTTTTATCACAGAAGCTTATGTTTTGTATTTCAGACCATTTCCCTCTTGAACATTTACCTTCATAACCTTCAAAACTGCCCAGTCCGCTGATGGTTTCCACTGTAAGTTCTATCTTTATCCACAGGACCCTCCAGCACCGACTGCACTGAATTCATTTTATTACTCCTCCCCAAACCAAACTGGCTCAGTGTAGAAGTGAGAGATGTGCCTTTAAGGCGAGATGCACGGGCCTCATGCTGTTTTGCATGTTTTCTCGGCCTGCTTGTCATGAAGAAAGTGTTATCAGTGTGTCTGTTGTAATGACACAGTTATGCCAATAGTTGAGCAACCAGAAAAGAGGTCAGAGTTTGGCTGAAGTCAGTTTAAAGCTAAACACCAAACAAGCTGAGAACTGGGAGGGAGAAACTTTGTTTTGACTGCTTCTGTGACATTTAGCTTCAAATTTGCATCAAATCCCTATTTCCAAATGTTCCTACAGCGTTTTGAGAAAGTATTTACACCCCCAGTTTGCCACATTGCAACCACAACCTTGAACATTTGGGATACTTTCGTGCGGTTGCAACGTAACCCGAAGGGTTCCTCGGGTGTGAATACTTCTTCAAAGCGCCGTGTGTTTACTTTTCTTGAAGTCTCCTGACGCTTAACGTCCGTCCAGCTCGTCCTTCACCGTCTGTCGTTGCCGTTTCGCAGGTGCCGTGAGCGATGTGGAAATGCAGGAACATTACGACGAGTTCTTTGAGGTGAGTGACCGGCTGGCCCGCCAGCGGCCCGTTGTGTCATCACCGCCTCCTTATCTGCCTCAGGAGAGCCAAAATGGGGCCTTTTTAGGCGCATTTCGGGGTTTGTTTATAGGAATTGTGCAACGCCTGAAACTTTCTTAATAGTGGAAAGTTTTGGTAACTATTTCATGTTGAAAAAACATCAAAATGAGAATCGTGATGTAGAAAAATGGCAAAATTATGGATCAAATCTTTCATTCATTTTCCCCTCTCATTTCTCAATTTAGGAGGTGTTCACAGAGATGGAGGAGAAGTATGGAGAGGTGGAGGAGATGAATGTCTGTGATAACCTCGGTGACCACCTGGTCGGCAATGTCTATGTGAAGGCGAGTCATGAACATCTGACACTCCAGGACGCCATCAAGTTAGCCAGATTCGAATATCAAGTTTAGTTTGAATTGATCTCAGACTGCGAGGAATGCTTTCGGTGTGTGCGCACGTCTGGTTTCTGCCAAAACGAATGTCTAACTCTGTGCCGCTGTGTGTAGTTTCGCCGTGAGGAGGACGCAGAGAAAGCGGTCATGGACCTGAACAACCGCTGGTTCAACGCCCAGCCCATCCACGCGGAGCTGTCCCCGGTTACCGACTTCAGAGAAGCCTGCTGCCGCCAGTATGAAATGGGGTGAGTCTCAAATGGGTTGGAAGTTTGTCCATGCTTGCTGTGGGTCACACACCTGTTGAAGACCAACTCGGCAGCTTCATGCATCCAGGAACATTTTTGCTGATGAGAAGAGCGAAATGCTTCTTGTTAAGTGTCTGTTGGCTTGTTGATCAGTGCTGGGTTCTTTTCCTTCTTCTGCTCAATCAAATCTGAGTTAAGCGTGTCCTCCACCTTTGATTTGGGTGGAGGAAACCTTTTCTACAAATATTACAGCAATACACTTGTAATCATTATGAAATGGCTTTGAGGTGTAAAAATTTAATTTCTCTTCCAGGTGTTTTCTCTCACACCACAGTCCTTTATGCAAAGGCATGAAGTAGCAGCAGCAGTACAGTATTTGTAACTGTTTGTAATGTGTAGCTGCTACCACAAGGTGGCAGAAGATCAGCTGAAAGTTTTTCATCAGCGCTTGCAGGTGTTAGATGATAATTGGTTTTTCTTAAACTATTTTTCTCTTTTTATACATTTGAGTTTTTTTTGTGATTCTTAACCATCCAATTTGAAATGTTGTCTTTTAATCACATGCACTAATATTAGCACACAGGTTTGTCCTGAACATGACTCAAACCATACATCAGTATTGAAAACAGCTATTTCAACTATTTTATTCAGGTTGCTGAGTAAATCCTGGCTGATTTAGGAGACATTTATTTACGTTTGTTGTCACTCGTTTTACCAATACTAGGACTGAAACAATTAATGTCGGATTAATTGATTTTAATCCGACCTCAAGTTATTGTTCTGTGTTGTGTGCTGCAAAGAAGGTTCTGTCTCTGTTCAGAGCGTGACAGAGCTTCACTGTTCTCCTCATCCGAGGTTGGATTACTCGCTGGCCGCAGTGTCCTGCTTTTAAATCCTGAGAGGCCTTTAAAGGTCGTTTCTGACAGAACCAAAGCAGAGTCACAAGGTTTTCCTTTTGAAAGTCTGAAGCCATCCCAGCTGCATTTGGTTTGTACAAACTAACATTTTATTCAGAACCAAGATAAGCTGTGTGCCCTTGAAGGTTTTTCCATTTGATTCTGGTTCGTTCCACATGCAGCCGATAAAAGTTTCAACTTTTTCTGCGGCGAGGCCAGAGATTTTAACCCCTCCTGACCCGTTTACAGGGAATGCACCCGAGGAGGATTCTGCAACTTTATGCATCTGAAGCCCATATCACGGGAACTCCGTAGGGAGCTCTACGGCCGCCGCAGGAAAAAGTAATTACTCCTCAGTGGAAACAGAAGTTCTCTCTCTCTCGAGTCGCTGTTCTTTTGTAAATGTAAATGTTTGTTGTCCAACAGGCACCGCTCTCGCTCCCGCTCCCGAGAACGGCGCTCCCGCTCCAAGGATCGACGGCGGGGCGATCGCGAGAGGCGGAAGTCCAGGGACCGGGAGCGGTCCGGGAGGTTCTGAAAGAGGCCGAGACTGATGCATTGAATCCCCTACTTTCTAACCCCAGCAATGTTTTTTTTTTCTTCTTCTTCTTTTTTTTCTTTTGGTGAATTGTTGAAATTTTGTTTTCATTTTTTTAAAAAGATAAGCTCGTGTTGCTTTCTCAATAAAACACATTTGTAACTGCACCGTCAGAATATCCCTCCATGAATTCTGTCCACAAGAATCAGATCGTTGATGGCTTTTTTTCTGTTTGCAAAATGGACACCAGTGGGTGTCCTGACTTTTTTCATTGTTTCTTATTTGTATTTCCACCCGTATTACTACTCTGCGTGATCTAGTTTCAAAGTCTACCCAGAGTAGCAATATCACCAATATATTCATTAATTTTATATTTTAAAATAGGTGAGAAGGATCAATAATTCAGGAAATTTTTGTTTATAAAAATGTCCCTCGGAACATTGTTAAAATGTCCCGAGGGACATTTTATACATACAAGGTTATGTATAGTAACCTTGATATAAAGTCGTTGATTTTGTTTTGTTGGTTTCGTTCATGTAAACAGTAATCAGTTAAGTTGCAGATGTTAAACTACTTATGCTATTTCAAATCCTATACCTAATGTCATTAATGGAAGGTTGAGTGGAAGGAAAACTTTTCACACATAAATTTGCACAAACCGGTTTAATTAGTAGCCAACTGTTAAGAGCTCTATGAAAAGCCATAAACATCTTAACAGATCTTTACAATCTTGAATGGGTAAATGGAAAGTTTCTTGCTAGAATTTCTTTGGTTTATTTTTCTGACTTGAATCTCAGGTTTCGTCCGAAGTCAATGCTGGGAAGTATCTCAGGTAAGTGCAGATTAAATACAACATTTAAGAGAATTGAAACGAAGTACATGTGATACGTTTGCATGTATCATGTAAAAGTGACACATGGGGAATTTTTACTTGCAATGTATTTCCTAGAGTGAATCATAATCATGTGGCAACCTGTCTCAAATGTATCCTTTTGTACAGTTATTTTAATTTTCATCCTTTAGTTTTTCACAAGTGCATAAATTATTTTAAAAGTAAAAAAAATTTTTTTTTTTTTTTTTGTCTACTCAACATGTTTGATATCAAAGCCAAAGTTCATGGGAAGTCGTCAAGATGACACATGGCACCAAAGTACGAGGGCTTTGTGTCTGGTCAGCAAAAAGGTAAACAGGTGGTGCGTACAGCTAGGCGTCCCTGTTTATCCAGACCCCGTATCGAGAGACCTCCTCTCTCATTGGTCGACGCAGTCCTAACGGACGCCCCCGTCTTGGCCAATCAAGTCGTACCTTTACTTGCGTCCTCTGTATGCTACACGTGCGCATTCTGCTCCAAACCCGCTGTACCTACCGGAAGCTCCTCATTCCGACGCTCGTGTCCTGAAGTCACCCCTCGTCTCGAAGCTCATTTTTTTCCCGTCTCCATCGGTTCCTGGCTGCATTTGAACCTCCAGGTAAGCGAACACGGACGGGTGACGAAAGGACGAGCGTTGAAGGATGTAAGAGTGATGCTGGGAGACGCGGTTTTCAGATAATGGCTCGGTGGGCGGCGAGCTGATGCAATATCTCCCCGGTATTTGCCGTTGGATGCGACCGGACATGGGATGCTGACAGTTTAACTAGCTCTGATCAATGTCTTCACTCACTGAGCTTTTATGTTTACATGTTGTCATATTACTTCCCGTTTGCGTTCAGGAAGTGTTTTTAATTCAGATCGGAGGTGAATTTGAGAGAAAGTGATCACCAATTGCTTTGGCATTAGCTTAAAACGTCCAATAAATACTTTTTTTTATACAATAGCACAAATGTTTAAAAAAACAAACTTATATTTTCTTATATTTGTGTCGCATCACAGACCTGACCTCGCTTTTTGTAATGTTATCCCATTAAAGAAATACAATGGGATAACATTGTAAAAAAAAAAAAAGTTTCTCTACAAACGCATTTTCTGGAACATGCACTCGTATTTAAGCAATAATATTTCGATTTGGTTTTCAGGATTGCAGATGTGTGTGTTGAGTTTTTTTCTTTTTTTTTTGCATTGTGTTTCTAAAGCTGGCATTCCTGCTGTGCACATTTTGTCGTGGCCGAGGGAATAAATGCTTCTCCTTTATGTGTTGAGCAGCTGATGCTGTAGCTGCTGGCTGAGCTTTTCCCTGATTCACACTTTGAAGGGAAAAGAATCTGCAGCTGAATGAAAAGCCATGGAGTTGAGCAGTGGACTCTGCTGTTCTCAGGAAAACTTGTAAAGAGATGAAATCTTTTGCAAAGGTAAACGTCAGATTGCTACTTTATTTCTGACTCTGAAGTTGTCATTAATGCAGAAGAGGATTAAAGCTTCTGCTTGGGGGGGGAAATGTCACTTTAAGCTCAATTCTGACTTTTTCATCTTTATTTTTTAAAGAAATCTAGTTAAGTTAAAAAGTCAGAATAATTTTTTCCACTGAACCTAATTTTCTTTTGAACAATAATTTTATGTGCATTTATTAATAGAAATCGGCTTATTTATGCAACAGATTGCTTCAATTTTTGGAGTTTAACTAGGCTGTGTGCATCTGCCGTGTATGTTACAAGGCATTGGTTTCTAGTTATAGTTTTAAAAAGCTACAATTTCAAATCTGCTTATAAATAAAATGTAAAAAATCACATCTCGTGTTGAATAGTTCTTTCAACAAAAGATGTGATTGAAAATGCCCAAGTGACCTCGGTTGATTCGAGCTGAATGAAACAGACCCTCTCCCAGTTTCTTGTCATGGAAAACGTGCAAAGTCATGACAGGGAAGCTAAAACGGCACCATTCATCACCCCAACTAATACTGTTTGAAAACTAAAACCAGATAAGAGCATTAATTGGCCCACAGAAACTGAATAATAAAAGTGGCACAGCTCTTTCTCAGTGTTCCTCAATAAAGATAAGCCACATCGTTTTGCACAGTAAGCACCTCGGTAAATGTGAAACTCTTATTTGTAATAATTAGCAACAACAGCAGGAATAATTTCTAAACAAGGTATTTTTTATTAAAACATTTTAAAAATCATGTTTACATTTTTTATAAATAAAATGATTTCATACAGGATGCTTTTTCTTCTTTAAACTGCTATGTAAATATAAATACATTAAATATTTAAAAAAAAACATTTTATTTAAAGTAAATTTTTGAAAATGGCACCATTTTAGTTGATTTTAACGCTTTCACTGGACTCAGCAGGAGAACATATCGAAGGGGATTAGATATTAATCTGATTAAAAGGGTCCGGCGAAGGATTTGTCACAGGATCGGGTTTAATGTTGGCGGGACGGAGCAGGTGATCTTTGGCTTTGTCGGGTGAACGGGTTTCTCTGGTTAGCCCTCGCTCCTGGTCCTCGCGGGGATCGGGTTGCCTCGCTGAACCCTGCCAAGGCCGCTGCATACCACATGGTGTTTGGCACATTTACCGCAGCGGCTGTGGCCGTCGTCACTTTAATTAGCAGCAGTGGAGCTTAAAGAGGAGCCAGTGTGTGTATAATTAGCATTTTGACACCCAGAGAAATCGGTCAGAATAACCCAAGTGAGCTTTATTCACGAGCTACTGAGTTTCCATCTCCTTGTTTGCTTTAGAAGATGGAGTCATTTAGGTGTGTGAACATCATTTGAAGCCATGTTGGAGTCAAAAAGGGGCCCCGGCCTTGACCTCTGACCTCTGATGTGCATGCTATGATTTGGTGACGGCTCATCTGATGTTGTTTTAGCTCGGATACTTTCCATTCCAAGATTCATATTTTTGGATAATGTGGTTTTTAAATCTCCGTTTTATTGATTGTATTTAGCTGTTGTTTCATTTGGGATATTTAAAATACCTTCCAGATTCAGCGCTAAGTGTTCTTTACACAATTTGAAAGACATTTTGAGAGAGTGAACATGCGTTATGATGCCATTATCATTATATGTCTTGAAAACGACAATATTAACGTTTATTACAACCAGGGCAGTTTATCGTTCAGCAAACTTTATTGTTGTTTAAAATGAGCAAACGCAGTTAAATCCCTCCTTTTATATAATTAACATGTGAAATAAATACTCCAGATATCAGCATTGAGATAGTATTCAGTAGTCAGTTATGTAACTCTGACATTTGCGGTACTATTAACCAATATGAGTCACTTCCAGGTTCAGATGAAAGAAACAAAGGTGATGGATTGGAGGGAGATCATAAACATTTCTGCAGGTTTGTGCTGATAAATCAGAAATAACTCGTGGATTACGTTTTTTTTTTTTTTTTCCACTTTTTTCTAGGAAAGCTTACAGCTCATTAACAAGATTATGAAACATTCCCGTTTGTTCTGTTAAATGTCTGGCGCAACAGTAGCTGCAGAGAGATCAGACGGCCTTTCCCCCAGTCTCACTTCTGCTTTCTCATCGGCCGCCAGTCAAACCAGAGCCGCTGCCAGTGTCGGTTGTGTTTGCTATGTGAGGGGAGCAACTGGGAGTGGAGGAGCAACATTTGTACCAAAGCGAGATGACATGACTCAGCATTGTTTAGAGGAAGTTGTGCTGTGTTTTTCTGTGTAGGCTGGCACACATTTTTCACTGAGCATTTAGAGGCTCGAAGGGGAGAAAATACTCTGTTTCCTTTCGTATTTTATAAATTTGAGCCACAGCTGCCCTGATATTTGTTTATCTGGGTTAAGCATTTGGACGCATGACGCTACAAATTTATTGCGACCAACCAGTCCATGTTCGTGATGTTGCGCGAACGCTGGGATCGGTGAACTACGTCAGAAGCTTTTTGTTAACTGGAAGAAGAAAGTCTAACTAGGGTTAAAAAAAAAGAATATTGCCATTAACCATTGGAAAGTTTTTTTTATACCCATTTAGAAATATCGTATTAAAAACAGTTGATGGAAACTCTGGATATCACTATTAGAAAATCTTGCAGTGCTTCTAATATTTGCAATGATGATCTCATGTTTTCTAATCTGCACAGATACATTTAACTGCATACCTGGTTCCAAGTTCGAAATGGAAAAATGACTGAGCTGCTGCTGTTGGTCTTTGCAATCCAATTCGTTCCTCAGAGATTTCAGAAGCTGCGTCTGTGTGTTTCACCTGAATTGTTCTTGTTGACATAACAAAGCCCTTCTTATCAGCTGCCATTTTTTATCTGTAAGATA